TTTATAAATTAAATATAGCATATTATTATTAATATTTCAAATAAAAAAGTTATATGGAGCATTAACGCATCATAATAAATATCCATAATCCATTAGATTAGAAACATACATGATATATTTTATCATCGAGTTTTTTAATTAATATTATTATCAAATATAAAAATATTATAGAGGACATTATATTCATTATGACCATCAATGTCTAATATCGACTTAATAAACATAATGTATAAATTGACACTAATCACTTATACCATAATAAATTTTTCTATTCTATCTACCATATATTTTTTCATAATTAATAATTCAATTTTTATATTCAATTCTATCTATCAATTTTTAACATTCACATTTCAATTATTAGATGTATCATATATTATACATTTTCATTCTAATCTAAATCCAAACTTTAAACATTCAATGATTAATATATTTTGCATATCTATTAATACTTCATCAATCTTAAATAATATATATTTTCAAAGAAAAACCACAATTCATCTTAAATCATCAAATTTTCATTAATACAAATAAATTCAAATAATCATTTCTTTTTCTATTAATGACATTAAATCACAAAATCTATTCTAAACCAACTAAAATTATAGAAAAATCGCATTTAACTTATGACATATAAAAAGATATCATCCATCAGATATTTTTTTATTCCATAATTTTTTTTCTAACCACATTTTAAACATTATCAGAATTATAAATCCACTATGTCATAATCTAATCAATTAAGATAATCTTAATTTATAATATTTGTTTGAAATACTATATATCTAATATTTGTTAATTCTATCAATTAATAATTTGTAGCACTTTTCATATTTTATTTTTAAAGAAAAAAATTTAAAATCGATATTCTATAATAATTTTTTTTATTTACCAACATTGATTTCTTAAAGGCCATATTCTATTTCATAAATTTTTAGCCCATTTTAATTAAATCTAAAGTATAATATTACAGTTATAAATACTATTTAACCAAACCATTCCATTAAAAAATTATTTTAAAAATATTTTTTATGACACATTGATCTTTCTCTATATTATTAAATCAAGCCAGTACACATAATAATTATTATAAAAAAATCTGCACAATCCATATTCTTTTGCAAATATGTATATATTAATCCATCATAATTTATTAAGTATATTAAACATGAATTAAATAATAAAATGTCATAATTGTATATATTATATAATCAAATATTAACTATTATACATAATAATCGAGCATTGAAATCAATATGAAAAAAACTGATTTCATTAAAAAGTCCTAAATTTAAATATCCAATTACAATAATTATTCACCATTTAATCAAACTAACCACCAATTATATATATAATAATTAAATATATATGTATAGTCGCATTTAAAGATCATGTTAAAACTAATACTATAATTATTTCTCAAGACATATTCACAAAATTATTTCAGAAACAGCCTTCAATGCATCGCACTTATCTATTCAATATTAATATTTTTAAAGTAATTAATAATTGTTTACCCCACATCTCAATCACACTTAAATTATACGTTTTTGTCAATCTTTAGAATAATTATATTCATCCTTCATATTATAATCTGCATAATATCAATTTCATCCATACCATATGAAATTCTTATCATTTTCTTCAATTGAATCAATAGAAATTCAATTTTCTCCATGTCCCATCTCAAACTATCAAGATATTTTTTCCTATTACTTATTATCAAGACTTATAATATTAATATATCTAATCATAAAAACATCATCAAATTATAAATTATATCATGGTATCGAAATAAATCTAAAAAAATAATTATTAATTATTCATTTTCCACTATTATATTAAAATTCTATAGCAAGATATCACATTTCATTAATACTCAATAGCCAATACATTTCAGTTAATACCAATTGATATCTCATTCACTGTAAATAATTTTTTAAATTTATAAATTCATGCTTATTTTACATTGTTAGAAAAAAATATCTTATCAAATAAATAGGCAAAATTTCATTATTTAATATAAAACACATTTAAATCGTTACCTCTTTAACTTTTCATCTATCAATATGTTAAAGATTCACAATATTCTAATTCCAAATAAACTGCATTTACTGTAACATATCCAAACATTGAATTTATTATATAATATTCCATAGTTTCATTAATAATTATAAAAATATTTTAAATTTCAACCAACATAAAATGTTTTTTCACTTATCCTCTTTTAATTCACATCCAAAGATTTTACCAATCATAATGTAAAAGAAATATATTAAATTACATTACAATAAATATAATCATATTCTTTAACCAAAAAATTTTAACATAAGAAACATACACAATATCCCGGTAAAAATTATTAACATAATACATATTTCTAATAAAAATATTAAATATGCATACAAAAATTTGTTTATCATTATATTTTATTTCACTTTAACATCATCTTTATCAATTAATCATATAATATAAAATAATTAATTTAATAATTAAATGCGAATATTATTAATTAATTATGCAATCATTCATTAAATTATTTGATCAAATTTTATCTCTTACTAGATATCCATATCTCAAAATTATATATAACAAAATAATGCATTATATCCATTGATTGAATCTTATGACCACAAATTCCATTTTTTTATACCATCATATTTCATATCCAATCATAAACATAACACATTTTTAATGTATATCACAATTCTAAAAGTACAAAGTTCAAAATATTTTTATATTGATACATAATAACTAATTTGTATTTAATAATTTTACTCAGATATACTATATTAATCAAATATTCAATTGAATTTCAAATCATTCCTTTATAAATACAATTAACATTTAATAATATTACTTAAATAAATTTTTAATATATAATTTTATACAAAATCATAACCATTAATTACTATAGCATAAAAGGCACATAATTACGCATCATATAATTACTTGCAACTATACAATTTAATGATTTTTTTCATTAAGAATCAACATTTAAATTTGGATTTTTTCTTATATTCAATTTTTCAACATAAATCTTTACTAACATTATAAAATTTTCTAAACCATCCCAAACAACCCTTTAGTTTAACTATTAATTTTATTTTGTTAATATATAAATTTTATTTATATAGTAAAATATCCATTATTCATATACATAAAAATTAGTAAGAGAACCCAAAATTATTCATATAATAAATAATTATCGAAAATAAACACAATTTAAATTTTAAAATCATAAAACATCAATCACCGTCATTTATATAAAAAATTCGTTATCTTATTAATCCCCTAACATTCAACAATTTGTCACATTATAATACTTCTCCATTAATAGTTCATATAATTAATAAATATTAATTCAAATATCAACTTTTATATTATATCTTTATATAATATTCATCATATTAAAATATTCATATTTGCCAAAATTTTGCGCATATGGATCCCACATATCATTTAACAAAATAATAATATTTATAAATATAAACATTTCATTTCATATTTTAACATCAACTGATCACATTATAACTTTTATCTGGAATGGTTAAGTTTTTTTCATATTTTATGTAACTTCAAAATCCTTAATATTATCATCTTATTAATTTGTTTATACGACTAATTTAATATTTATTTCCACATTGATTTTTAAAATATTAATCCAAACTAATACAATTGTTTTTAAATTTCAATTAAAATGCATTCAATATCTTAATAATTTTAAAATAATTCATTCCCTAAATATTTATATAATTTAAAAATATATTAAAATTTCAATCATTTATTAAGATTTTATAACCATTCAGCCCATCAAAAACAAATATATAATAGATTTATACAAATATTATTATTTTTATATTTTCACGCATGCATTAATCAATCATCTATTTTTTTTTAAATATAATACATTTCAAATAGTAATCTATAATATTTTTTATAAACCCCATATTTAACAATATTTTATATTCCATATATATTTTTAACAATTTTTATGAATGTTTAATTCTATATATAATATATTAATTAAATATACATTATCTAATTAAAGATACATCACATTCATATATTATCAGTCTCTGCATCTCAACAGTTTAATTACTAAAAAAAAAAACAATAAATATTTAATGTTTTCCATTTATACTACATATCCGTTATTAAAATCTTTTATTATTACTACATCATTTTCTTTCTAACAATAATAATTATTTATTTAGTTTCTATGTCAAGATATTAATTTTATTTCATTAAAATATATTTTAGATTTTTTAGTCCATTAAATTAATTCATTCATAGTTAATCATCTCAACATATTCATATAAAATCCTTCTGAATATATAATAAATAGCATATCTAATGTATAAGGTTAAAATAAAACATTTGAATCGTTTAATCTATTGAAACACCCAAATAATATTATAAATTTTCCCAATAATTTAAACAAATTTTTATTTAATTATTTTATAAATCACTTCAATCAAAGACATATAGACAGTTTTTATAAAATTCCAATTTTAATATTCATCATTATTAGCACATATATTTTTGATATCTTTATAAACACTTCAAAGTATTCACATCCTTTCATCTCAAATTTTTAAATTATGTTCCATTCATTAAAATATTTAGTATTAACATAAATTCTAAAAAATTATTTTCGCCAATCTATAACTAACATTAATTACAATCTTTCAATAAAAAACATTTATTTGAAAAATACATTAAAGATTTCATCACATCAAAAACATATCAAATCAACTATTTTTTATAAATTATTCACATCACATTATCTATTACATAAGCATTTATATAGTTACTTTTAAATAAATTCATCTATAAAAAGCTTTACCATTATTTTAATTCATCATTCCATACAATAAAAATTAAAAAAAATAATTAATCATTTTTGTATTCGTTTTTAAATCATAATTCAAAAATTTCCAAAATAACAATATTTCTTGCATCTTAATCTTACAATATTAAAGTAAGTAGTTGTCACCATGATGTTTAATGCAATTCAAGAGCTTGATTTAAGTATATTTTCGACCATAATTAATCCAAATATTCGAATTTCAGTAATATGTAACTAAACCAAGCAAAGACAATATGTTTTCATATATAAAACTAATCATCATATGACATTTACATTCAATTTTTAATTATATTCCGAATCCAATCTTAATAATCAACCATATCACAACAATCAGATTTATTATCTTTTATTAAAAGAATAAATATAAGAAAATTCTACTTAATATCAAGCATTCTTTATTTAAAATACAAAAATATTTTAAAATTTTGTTGACAATCTTATATTTTTTCAATTGTTCTAATCTTTTATATTCAATATAAAAAATATTAACATTTTCAAGACATACACATTATTTCAGGTTTATTTTTTATTTATTATAAATTAAAATAATTTTTTAATTTATTTATAAAAATATAAATATATTAATTTATAAAAAAACAACCACATAATTCAAAAAAACAACTATATTTATAATAATGTATTAATAATCTTGTATTAAAGAATGACATTTTTAAAATATCTTCATGAACAAAAATTATTTATATTTTCATAATGGCATTAATATTCCATCATAGATAATATAATCTCAACCATTCAACAAATGTTCTGCATTAGATTTTCACTCTTAAAAGCAAGATAAATTCTCTCATTTCACATTAATTCTCCCATCTGATTTAAAACATAATACATATACCATTTCATAAGAAGTCAATACATTCAGAGCAACACATCATTTATTTTTTAAAATAATCTCTATTTTACAACACATAACCAGTCATATGTATTATAAACATTAAATATCCAAAATTTCTTTATACAAAAATTGAAATTATAAATAATATAAAAATATATCAAATATATTTTAAGTAATTAATAATTTGATCATCATCAATTCGTACAAATCATCCATGGTCAAATAAATTGTTTGAATCTTTTATTTTATCAAATATATTTTCATACAACAATGCAATTCCAATACCATTCCTATTTCATCCAATAATATTATTCTATTAATTCCAAGTTCATAATCAACAAATAACAAACTTGACAATTAATTTTATTTTATATATATATATATTTTCTGAATATCTATATAAATTCTTTTAAAGAATTCTCACCAAATCAATGATATTTCAATTATTTATATTAAAATACTGGTTTAATATTTTCACAAATTGCAATGTAATAAATATGCATAATAAAAACAAACCAGTACCATCTGCATCCATCTGAAAAAAAATTGAAAATATAGTATTATACAGTCAAAAGATCATTATAGATAATTAATTCATAGCATAACAAAACCTCCAAAAAAAAAATTGAGATTAAAAGTGTCAGATATAATAATCAATTCTATTAATCATAACAATTAATATATACTCTAATCCATTTATTTAATTTTCATTATCCATTATATGATTTAGTACATAAATAAACATATTTTATTTTTTTCAAATCATAAAACCATATTTAAATCAATAATTTTCTTGCAAATAGACATTATTCTATCAAATATTACCTTCACAATAAATTTCTTTACATATTCCATTTTTAAAACAAATTAAAATTAAGGCACAAAACTTATAATGATACATCTGTATTAAGATTATTTATTCAAATAAAAAATATAATTTCTAACTCAAAACAGCATTACATATTATATTAAATATCAGTTAATATATAATCCATATAATAAAATAACATAGATTTTCTATAACTATATAACTTTTAATATAATATTTATAAACATGGATATACTGGGCCAGAACAATTATGATTTAGTTCTAATAACAACAAACTATTTTTACTTATCTACTTACATAAAACTATTCATTTATAATATAATTTCAATAGATTTAATTATATATTCATCCAATTTTCTATCATTCTTAATCAATATTTTTCAATTTATTTCCTTAATCATCACACATCTTAAATTTTTTTATACCAAACATAAATATATTTTAATTCAAATAATGTATAATAACATCGATTAATCACAATTCATTTTATAACATTTACTCAATAATCACCCACAATATAATTAATCCATAATCAAAAACAAAACTATTGTCACACGCGGTACAATTATTCATATATTACATTACTTTAAACAAAAAATTAAATAAAAAACTTCCAATATTTTTCACACATTACATTTTTGAATATCATCAAAATTTTACATCTCTCATGTTATCATAAATCTTTAAAATTTATTATACTAATAATACCAAAAAGATATTCTATCTTCCTTTTTATTATTATATAAATATGATTCCATAGGGACACATAAAAAGGTTCAAATCATATTTACCTTTAATTATATATATACAGGTTTTCCCAGCAGCAAATTTTATCACAAAAATAAGATAAAGTATAATACTTTGAATGCCCAATAATTTTTTAAAATATAATTACCATAGACATTAAGTAAAGCAATAATGTAAATCAATCACAATTATTCAATGCATCATTCGGTATATTTATCAACAACTTTTAATTATATAATTATCAGGTATATACACAACTTATATTTATTTATATATTTATCAAATATAACATTTCTTAGCAAATAAATTATTATCATTATGTATAATATTTTAATCACATATTTATTAAAAACATTCTGTAATCCAATAATCAATTGTTAGAAATATGTAGTAAACTCAAATAAATAGAAACATTTAAATAAAACAAAAGATCATTTGCATTTATAAATTACAATATCTTAATTTATAATAATTTGATCTATTCGCAAATATCTATCTATAAATTTGCATATGATAAATTTCATATGAATATGTTTAAGCATATCAAATTTTACATAATATTCGGCATAATAGCAAAATCTCCACTTCAAATTTAAGTAGCAACCACAAGAAATATTATAATTTAAAAAAAAAAAAATCATCCCAGTAATAACCAAGTTCTTCATGTCATCATCATACTCCGATATTTTATCACAATTAACAATTAATATTTCTATAAAAGTTATATAATAATTATGAAAAAGATTTTAATTCATAATTTTTTAACAATTTTTTAAATCAATTTTTCATCGTTTCATTTCATTTTAAATATCAATTCAATCACATACAATTTTAATCATATTTCCCAACTTATTTTTGTACATATTTATAAAAACAATATATTTATTTTTCAACACATTTTTTTCATCTATAAATTGCAATATTTAACATAGCAATTTTGATTTTTTCTATCACACCACCAAATGATTTGGCAATTCAAGGAATTCAGACCATATCCAACTAGTAATACAACCATAATTAGTTTATTCTAATTATACGAAACACATATTCCACAAAACAATCAAATCAAAGAATAAAAGTAATCTCTAACACCAAGCAGCCAGATTTAATCATTATTTTAAAAAAGTCGATTTCTTTTACATAATTATTTTTTTAGTTTTTTTAAACATCGATTTACTTCATTTATCCATACATATATCAATAACAACATTTATGATCAAATCATACATCATTACATAATTAACATAACAAATCAAAGTATATCATGGAAAAATGACTATCACAGGACACTCAATTATAAGTTTTAGCGAATTACCATTCATAACATTTATGATATTATTATAATATATATACTAATTATTGTATTGTCTATCATAATATAATATAATATTTCTCATATAGATTTTTTCCAAAATTGTTAACATATTCCATTCTTTTTAAAACCATTATTCAATACCATAGATGTTGCAATCATTTTCTCATAAATATTATTCATTAATAATTTAATATAACACTGACATTATTTAGCAATAAACTCAAAAGAATTTTAATTAACATCAGCTATCATATAACGCATCTAGCATTCCATTCTAATGATTATTAATATAATAACAAAGGTGTTTATATTCTTCCATATCTTTTTCAACATTTTTTCAATTTATACACCCAATTATTTTCATGCTAATCTTTACAATCTACATAAATTTATAAATTTATTTATCAAATTATATATATCACATTTTATACAAATATATATTAGATAATCAAATCACATTCATTTTACAATAATAATTATATCCTTAGTAACAATTATAACATTTATCAATATTTCTCATGTATTTAAATAATCTACAATTAATTATATATATCTAATCATATAACCAATAAAAATCTGAATCAAGACAATGAAAACGGCAAAAGACAAACCAAATCGAACATTAATGACATGTTCCATCCATATCTTCTACACATTTATATCTTTATTTATTCAATTTTATATTATTACTAATAAATTTTATTATTATAAAGAACATTCATCTTTATAGTAATAAAATCATATCTTATTTTAAATTTTATCTATACCATTTTATTTAAAATTGATTGCATAATTTTCAACATTTCTATTAATTACCAGGACCATATTTCTCTTTTAATTAATATATTCAATCAATTAATTTAATTTATCATAAAAAAATCAAGTAATTCAATTTCACCATTGTAATCACATTTATATGACAATTTGATAATATCTATTTAATTATCAATTAATCAATATATATTTTTCACAATTTTTACAAACATTACACTCAAAACATAACATATGGTCATAAATTTCAAAGGAATTCAATTATTCATTCCAACATTCTTAAAAGAGTTATATAAGATACTCATCATTCAAATCCTTTAAATATCCATCTATCATAAAAAGATAAATATGAATAGTCAATTTATATTATTAATAAAAATCATTCCAATCACTATTTATAACACATTATATTATTAATACATATTAGTTTTTTAATGAATCATTAAACATTATAAATTAATGACATTAAACAATTTCACTATATAATCCTATATGAAACCAAACTACCCAATTAATATTATTAGCAATTCAATCAAATAATTCTCGCATTAATATTCATATATTATTTAAAATAATTCTTTATACTATACATTTTCTTGCCATGTAATAAAATATAAAATTTCTATACAATTTAATTTATTACATTTTACAATAAATAATAAGTTATTTCCTATTGATAATATATCAAATAAACATATATTAAAACAAAATAAAAGATTTTTATCAATTAAAGATTCCAATATTATCTTATAATTACTACTATCAAATATTAAACATTAATATATATAATCCTACTTTATTAGAATATTATTTTAAAATATTAATTTATATTAATATATTTAACTTATCATTCAATATTTATTTTAATTACAAGCATTTCTTTTTTTATTTATCACATAATAATTTATAATAAAATTTTATAACAATATCTATTTAAATATATCTCCTAATTTACTCTATCTATTTCATTGTCACAAATTAAAATACAAAATTTAGTTTAAACATATCAATAATAAAATACTCAACAAATCTTAAAATTAAATACTAATACCCAAGATTTTTTTATATTATATATATAATTCATCATTTTTCATTATAAAATATTTCTAAATAAATATATAGTATCATAATGTGGATTCCATCACATAGAAATTAATTGTCATATTGTAACAATTTATAATTTTTTATTCTTCACCAAATTCAAGTAATTATAAATACCAATCCCTCTATCTGTACTTAGCAATTAAATATATTAATTATAACAATCCAACTCTAACAACATTTATTCATTTCAGAAATTTTATATTTCTGACTAATTTTATCAAAGAGACATCATTATTTTAATATCATAGTATTATTAATATTCGTTTATAATCAATTTTCATACTTTCACCACAAATTCAAACCGCATTATAATAACTTAAGAAAACAAATGTAAACAGTTATTTATAAATTATTTTAATAATTTTCAAAGCATAATTTAATCTTATAAATCACATTCATTATATTTTTTATTCCCAAATAAATGTCATATTATTTATTCTATAACAATCTTTCAATAATAAAAATTTAATTGATATCTAATTAAAAATAAAAATGATCTAAAATTGCAATTATTAATATCATAATTTTTATTTTTGCCACAATCTCTTATAACAGTATTGAATATCAAAATATCCAGCATAATTATTAAATTTTTATCCAAGTATCAACATATTCAACACCGCAAAATAAATCATTTTATGTCATATGACAATATATTCATTTATTATTATAAAAAAATTCTTAATTTTAGTTTCCATCAAGTTAATTAAATCCATATTTTATTAAAACTTTATTATTTTTACTATGTTAATTAAATTTCAAACCTAGATCCCCAGTATATATCTCATCTTCAACTTTTTTAAACTATTTTTATATTTTCAAATTCTTATTGAAATATATCTCTAAATTTAAAAGCAATAAAATACACATTTGATCTTAATATATATGGTCCATTTAATAGCAATATCTATATTTTTCTAATATATAGATCCTTGTATTTAAAGAGGTCACATTCAAATACAAATTTATACAAATTTTTTATAGAATCCTTGTCAGTTATTTTAAACAAATAAATTATTTATATTTTAAAATATGTATACTTATTAATATCTTTTTCGAGGAGAGACACCATCAGAGGAGAGACACAAACAGAGGACACCATCAGAGGACAGAACACCATCAGAGACACCATCAGAGGACAGACACCATCAGAGGACACCATCAGAGAGACACCATCAGAGGAGAGACACCATCAGAGGAGAGACACCTGACAGAGGACACCATCAGAGGAGAGACACCATCAGAGGACACCATCAGAGGACACCATTCAGAGGACACCATCAGAGGACAGCACCATCAGAGGAGAGACACCATCAGAGGACACCATCAGAGGAGAGACACCATCAGAGGACACCATCAGAGGACAGGACACCATCAGAGACACCATCAGAGGCACCACACCCATCAGAGGAGAGACACCATCAGAGGACACCATCAGAGGAGAGACACCATCAGAGGACACCATCAGAGGAGACCATCAGAGACACCATCAGGAGAAGGACACCATCAGAGGACAGACACCATCAGAGGACACCATCAGAGGAGAGACACCATAGAGGTCACCATCAGAGGACACCATCAGAGGACACCATCAGAGGAGAGACACCATCAGAGGACCACCATCAGAGGACACCATCAGAGGAGAGACACCCTCAGAGGACAGAACCATCAGAGGAGAGACACCATCAGAGGACACCATCAGAGGAGAGACACTATCAGAGGACACCATCAGAGGAGAGACACCATCAGAGGAGAGACACCATCAGAGGACACCCATCAGAGAACACCATCAGAGGACACCATCAGAGGAGAGACAACCCTCAGAGGACACCATCAGAGGAGAGACACCATCAGAGGACACCATCAGAGGACACCATCAGAGGAGAGACACCATCAGAGGACACCATCAGAGGAGAGACACCATCAGAGGACACCATCAGAGGACAGACACCATCAGAGGAGAGACACCCTCAGAGGAGAGACACCATCAGAGGACACCATCAGAGGAGAGACACCATCAGAGGACACCATCAGAGGACACCCTCAGAGGGGACACCATCAGAGGACACCATCAGAGGACACCATCAGAGGACACCATCAGAGGACACCATCAGAGGAGAGACACCATCAGAGGAGACACCATCAGAGGAGAGACACCATCAGAGGAGAGACACCCTCAGAGGAGAGACACCATCAGAGGAGAGACACCATCAGAGGAGAGGGACACCATCAGAGGACAGACACCATCAGAGGACACCATCAGAGGACACCATCAGAGGAGAGACACCATCAGAGGAGAGACACCATCAGAGGACACCATCAGAGAACACCATCAGAGGACACCATCAGAGGAGAGACACCCTCAGAGGACACCATCAGAGGAGAGACACCATCAGAGGACACCATCAGAGGAGAGACACCATCAGAGGACACCATCAGAGGAGAGACACCATCAGAGGAGAGACACCATCAGAGGACACCATCAGAGGAGAGACACCATCAGAGGACACCATCAGAGGAGAGACACCCTCAGAGGAGAGACACCATCAGAGGAGATACACCATCAGAGGACACCTGGCCTCTCTCTCTCTCTGGCCTCTCTCTGGCCTCTCTCTCTCTCTGGCCTCTCTCTCTCTGGCCTCTCTCTCTCTGGCCTCTCTCTCTCTGGCCTCTCTCTCTCTGGTCTCGCTCTCTCTGGCCTCTCTCTCTCTGGTCTCGCTCTCTCTGGTCTCTCTCTCTCTGGCCTCTCTCTCTCTGGCCTCTCTCTCTCTGGCCTCTCTCTCTCTGGCCTCTCTCTCTCTGGTCTCTCTCTCTCTGGTCTCTCTCTCTCTGGTCTCTCTGGCCTCTCTCTCTCTCTGGCCTCTCTCTCTCTCTGAGAACCATCAGAGAACACCATCAGAGGACACCATCAGAGGAGAGACACCCTCAGAGGACACCATCAGAGGAGAGACACCATCAGAGGACACCATCAGAGGACACCATCAGAGGAGAGACACCATCAGAGGACACCATCAGAGGAGAGACACCATCAGAGGACACCATCAGAGGACACCATCAGAGGACAGACACCATCAGAGGAGAGACACCCTCAGAGGAGAGACACCATCAGAGGACACCATCAGAGGACACCATCAGAGGAGAGACACCATCAGAGGAGAGACACCATCAGAGGACACCATCAGAGGACACCATCAGAGGAGAGACACCCTCAGAGGACACCCTCAGAGGACACCATCAGAGGACACCATCAGAGGACACCATCAGAGGAGAGACACCATCAGAGGAGACACCATCAGAGGAGAGACACCATCAGAGGAGAGACACCCTCAGAGGAGAGACACCATCAGAGGAGAGACACCATCAGAGGAGAGACACCATCAGAGGACAGACACCATCAGAGGACACCATCAGAGGAGAGACACCATCAGAGGAGAGACACCATCAGAGGACACCATCAGAGAACACCATCAGAGGACACCATCAGAGGAGAGACACCATCAGAGGACACCATCAGAGGAGAGACACCATCAGAGGACACCATCAGAGGAGAGACACCCTCAGAGGAGAGACACCCTCAGAGGAGAGACACCCTCAGAGGAGAGACACCATCAGAGGAGATACACCATCAGAGGACACCTGGCCTCTCTCTCTCTCTGGCCTCTCTCTGGCCTCTCTCTCTCTCTGGCCTCTCTCTCTCTGGCCTCTCTCTCTCTGGCCTCTCTCTCTCTGGCCTCTCTCTCTCTGGCCTCGCTCTCTCTGGTCTCGCTCTCTCTGGTCTCGCTCTCTCTGGTCTCGCTCTCTCTGGCCTCTCTCTGGCCTCTCTCTGGCCTCTCTCTGGCCTCTCTCTGGCCTCTCTCTGGCCTCTCTCTCTCTGGCCTCTCTCTCTCTGGCCTCTCTCTCTCTGGCCTCTCTCTCTCTGGCCTCTCTCTCTCTGGCCTCTCTCTCTCTGGCCTCTCTCTCTCTGGCCTCTCTCTGGCTCTCTCTCTGGCCTCTCTCTGGCCTCTCTCTGGCCTCTCTCTGGCCTCTCTCTGGCCTCTCTCTGGCCTCTCTCTGGCCTCTCTCTGGCCTCTCTATCGCTGGCCTCTCTCTGGCCTCTCTATCGCTGGCCTCTCTCTGGCCTCTCTCTGGCCTCTCTCTCTCTCTCTCTCTCTCTTGCTTCTCTCTCTTGCCTGAGTTGCTTGAGGAAGTGCACGTCTGCGGAGGTGGAGATGAGTTTGATGAAGTCTTCGTAGGAGGCGGCGTAGGTGTAGGCCTTCTGCTGCTCCGCCTGCTGCTCCCTCTGCTCCAACTGCGACAGGAGCGTCCGGTTTATGGAGTCTGGGTCACTGAGCACCTCCACCAGCGGCTTCAGCACTGTATACAGAGGGACAATGCTAACACAGACTGTATACAGAGGGACAATGCTAACACAGACTGTATACAGATGCTAATGCTAACACAGACTGTATACAGACGGTCAGGACTGGGGTATATACCGCTGTTGGTCAGGACTGGGGTATATACGGGTCAGGACTGGGGTTCTCCTCAGGGATGTATTTTGAGTCCTTTGCTTTTTACTTTGTACACTCACGATTGTGTGTCCTCCTCTGACTCAAACTTGATCATCAAATATGCTGATGACACCACCATCATCGGTCTCATCAGTGACACTGATGAATCCTCTTATAGAGCAGAGATACAAAATGTGGTTCAGTGGAGTCAAACTAACAACCTCCAGTTGAACGCATCCAAAACATGTGAACTGGTCACGACTTCAGTCACAATAGTTCTCATTTGCCCGTCGTAATCGACAACTCCCAGGTGCAGATCGTAGAGGAGCAAGTTTCTGGGTTTAACTCTGTCTAACCTGAAATGGGTTAAAAACACTGACCGAGTCGTTAAGAAAGCTCGTCAGCGTCTCTACTTTCTGCGTAAACTTAGAGAATTTACCACTAACTCTAAGATTGTGCTTAACTTTTATGGCTGCACCATTGAGAGTTTACTTGTTGGTTCTGTGTCTGTGTGGTTTGGAAACATCACAGATAAAGAAAAGAGAGCTTTAAACAAGGTGCTCCGCTCTGCTAAGAGGACCGTGGGCTGTGAGACCAGAGAGAGACCAGAGAGAGACCAGAGAGAGACCAGAGAGAGACCAGAGAGAGACCAGAGAGAGAGACCAGAGAGAGAGACCAGAGAGAGGACCGTGGGCTGTGAGCTTCCTGTTCTGGAGGTTCTTTATAAATCCAGACTTTTAAACAAAGCTCTTAGGATTGTTAATGACTCTTCAGCCACCCTGGGAAAGCCATGTTCCAGCTTCTTCCCTCTGGCAGAAGATATCGCTCTCTGAGATGCAGGACATCTCGTTACGCTAACAGTTTTTATCCACAGGCTGTTATCAGTGTGAACAGAGCACTTTAATGATTTGCACTTGTTTTGAACTGTTTTAGTCGATCCATTTCACAGTGACATTTGTTTACTGTTTTATTTGTTTTATTTTTGTCTTTTAATGTTGTTTTATGTCTGTATTTGTCTGTGCACACTGGAGACTTTTGCTAATGTATTCCAATGTGGTTTTACTGCAAATGGCAAATAAACTGAATCTGAATCTAATATATACGGGTCAGGACTGGGGTATATATGGGTCAGGACTGGGGTATATACGGGTCAGGACTGGGGTATATATGGGTCAGGACTGGGGTATATACGGGTCAGGACTGGGGTATATATGGGTCAGGACTGGGGTATATACGGGTCAGGACTGGGGTATATACGGGTCAGGACTGGGGTATATACGGGTCAGGACTGGGGTATATACTGGGTCAGGACTGGGGTATATACGGTCAGGACTGGGGTATATATGGGTCAGGACTGGGGTATATACGTTGGTCAGGACTGGGGTATATACGGGTCAGGACTGGGGTATATACGGGTCAGGACTGGGGTATATACGGGTCAGGACTGGGGTATATACCTCTGTGGTCAGGACTGGGGTATATACGGGTCAGGACTGGGGTATATATGGTCAGGACTGGGGTATATTGGTCAGGACTGGGGTATATACGGGTCAGGACTGGGGTATATACTGGGTCAGGACTGGGGTATATACGGGTCAGGACTGGGGTATATACGGGTCAGGACTGGGGTATATACCTCTGTTGGTCAGGACTGGGGTATATACGGGTCAGACTGGGGTATATACGGGTCAGGACTGGGGTATATACCTCTGTTGGTCAGGACCTCCGTGAGGCAGCAGCGGAGGGTGTATGACCGCTGGTCTTTCTGGGGCAGTAGACACAGCAGCAGGATGCGGGCCACACAGCGGAGGAAGGACAGCTCGGCCTCAGGACTCACCAGACTGGGGTGCAGCGGGAAGGGACGGGCGCCCTCCTCTGGCCTGGAGGACACACCACAACAGACCCTTTCATTAGAGCTCACCATGGATCTACAATAATAAGTGAACAGTGTATTTATAGCTTACAGCTGATCCACCCATGGGCCACGGGCACAGGGGCCACGGGCACAGGGGCCATGGGTGTCTATAAATCCACATTTAACTGCCACAAACTCTTGCTCTAACCCCGCACTGATCAGCAGCTCTGATTGGTCAGAAGCATAGACTGTACAGTAGGTCCCATTTCGTTTTGTCTTCACTCACGCTTTTCATGAATCACGCAGCTGCGTGAAACATATTACATCTTATTGCCACTAGGTGGCAGGTTAAGTCCACTTTAGCTCTGCCAGCGACTTAAACGCTCAGGTATAAGTCTGCGTGCAAACGTTATCTGCCTAGTGATACTATGTTGGCCGAATGGTTTGAGTTGCAGGTTAGGATAAGGGGGAGTAGGGTTCGATTCTTGTTTGAGGCAGTTTAGGTTGCACACCTTTTGGTTGCTTGTGTGCAATTACGTAACGTTATCAGCTTGTTCTTTCCTTGTCAAAAGGATTCTTTGCTAACTTCGGGCCTATCAAAACGCGGTTTAAAGTCAAAGGATTGACTCTGTAAAACACTGTACTAACTTACTGCACTGTATTGTAAGTACTGTAACAATACAATTGTATTTTACTTTATTACTTATTTTTACTTCTTATTTTTAATAAAAACACTTCTTCTCAAAAGTTCCTTTCTGACTTCTTCTACAGTATGGGATAGCCAGCAGCAAGTGCGTTATTGAACATGAAACATTGGAACAAAACAAACACGAGTGTACACTGTATTCAGAATACTTTTACTTTGATTAGCAATATATAGGCTGTGTATAATTACAAAAATGTAAACTACACATGTTACATATAGCTACCATTAATTAGGAATTCTAAAGCCCAACGCACACCGAAACGCCTTGACGCGCGGCAAAAGAGCCGCCTCCTTTATTTTCTATGAGAGAACGCACACCAAGGTTGCAGTGACGCGCGGCGACGCTGGACCGGGCGCCACGATTCAGTTTTGTTGAATCCAGACGCGGCGCCGCGGCTGAAACTGTCCCTCCAAGCACCCGTAGTTTTCTTCTTCTGCGCTTCTTATCACGTAGCTGTGAGCGCGGTCTCAAATTTACACACTTGTCGGCGCTATTGCTCAAGTAAACCGGTCACAATGGACGAGGAAAGCTTGATAACCCAAGTACAGCGTTACCCAGAGCTAGTTATTAGCCTGTTTAAAAAATGGGTCCAAATAGTCTTTTCTTGTAATATTTGCCAGCATAATTTCACGTAAATACTTTGTTTCCTCCCCCAAAATATTAGTAGAAACTTCCAAACGTCACTCACCCATTTCATCTGCGATCAGCTGGAAAAGGACGCTAGCCAAGGCGTTCCGGTGTAATTTGACACATGTCATGAACGCGCGTCAAATGACGCGCCGCGAGGCGCTGCGTTTCGGTGTGCGGTGAGCTTAAAATGCACAGGAGTAGCAGATCATATGGCAAACATTTGCATTAACTTGCATATAAGGCATTTTAACCCTCTGTGCACATGGGTCATTTTGGGGAACTTTCCTCGCCTGGTTTTCTTTGTGTATAATTGTTCATAAAACAGTCATCTTTTGATGCAGAGTCAAGCAGTAGACTTTGTTTTTTTCAGTACAACCTGGGGTTTTAGAATATTCATATTGTAAAGCTGTCATATGAATTATATAAAAATTATGGAATCATGAAGACAAAGAAAAAAATCAAACGGAAAATCAATTTAACAAAAATGTATTGAAAAAACACAATGAAATGATATAAACAACTTTTTACACTGCATAGAAATGTTATTTAGGGTCATGGGGATAATGGGGAAAAAAATTGAATCTCTAACTATTATACTTTTTACAAAATTCCACTATAAAAGCAAAAAACTCTGTACTCCTGATGCCCTTCCTGAAGCAGTTTGTCTATAATGCTGGGGTTGCTTCTGTAGCACAGCTGTAAAAAACGTAAAACATAAGAAACTGAGCCAAAAAAAAAAAAACATCAATTATTTATATAATACATATATTTATATACATCATATACACATAATGTCATTTTACTGTATTTATTATCGTCTTTATCAATAATGCGCACTCTTCAGCCGGTTATTGCAATCGCAGCTGTAGTTTCAACTGTGGGAGAACAAGTAAACGCAGAGGAGTGAGACATCTCACTCTCTGACGATCTTTGGCAGTCCCCGTGTGTTTGTATCTCACAGCTGTTTGTACCTCACGGGTCACGCTTTGGACACGGACTTTCAGACAAACGTAGTTTATCCTCCGTGCATCGCACAGACAAATCAAAACTAGTTTTGGAAAGCCCTGAATACGTACTTCACAGAGGGGAAAAAGTAAGTTGCTACGTTTTACCGTTCGCGAGTAAATTGATCATTTGTAAAACATTTGTAAAACATCGGCGCCGATGCACGCGGGCATATAGGGTTAAGCGTCCCGCACATCCGCACGGCTCATTCACTCAGCGCTCTGTCCTATTAGATCCAGTGTTTCCTCCAGCGCCTGTGTGGCGTAGCAGGATTGTCCAAGACTTTCGCTTGGACGATCGGGGTTCGAGCCCCGGCCAATCCTCAGTTTTTATTAGCGGGGGGAGTATATGAATCAGATTACTCCGTTACTGAATAAAGTTGCATTTTTTTCCTGCAGTTTGGTTGGTGCAGATTGTGAAGTTTACAACAGTTTACTACAGTCTAGCAACTATTTTAAATGTGTTGGCCTAATTACTAAGTTTTTTTATTTAACACTGGAGAAAACGTGCTCGGTTTCAGGTGGGAGTTAAGAGGTTAAAAGCAGAAGATTTTCCGACAATGTTCCTAACCCTGCAAAGATAAAAAGCCAGTATAAAAGTGGAATAATTTTATCTTCATAACTTGGTGCTGATTGTGGAGTTGTATCAAAAGTCTTTAACTTGTACTCGAACCCAGGTCCTCCTGCGCCAAAGACTTGAGCTTTGTGACTGGGTGTCATAAAGCTCAAGGTGGCACTGCTCACAAGTGCCACCTGGTGGTTGTTTGGGTCATTGCAGCATCACTGGGAAAAAAAAAAAAAAAAAGACGCGTGTTTTACACGTGAGTCTCGTGCTATTCACGCGTGAAAGGCGACAAAACGAAATGGGACCTACTGTAAATATGAACGGACAGAGTCAGGCCTATCTGCGCCGTTCTAATGGGCCAAAAAATGTGCTCTACTGGAGCTATCCAAAATGGCCACGAGTGGTCCCGCCCACAGGAAAATTTTGAAAAAACCCATCTGTCCATGAGTCAGCCGGCGCAGCTCCGTTCATTTGAACGAGAGACTTCTAAAGTCCACAGCGACTAAACTAGAGTGGTCCAGAACACTCAGCATTGACACACATGTGGAACGGAGCTTTGGGCCAAGAGACAACTTTTGGTCCATCCTGTAAAGACGTTTTCCAGAGGTCAGCTAATGCTATATGTTAGCATTGGCTAATTCTTCTTCTGGGTCCACCCCCACAGGCCCGGGGTGGTACTGCAGCATGTCAGGGTCCACCCCCACAGGCCCGGGGTGGTACTGCAGCATGTCAGGGTCCACCCCCACAGGCCCGGGGTGGTACTGCAGCATGTCAGCGCACCTCATTTTGGACACTTTTGAGCTGGGACCCTCCCCCACTGGTCAGAACGCTGCGCTCTGATTGGTCGTCCCAGTGAGTTCCAATATTCTTTAGGTGCCCGTGGGGGGCGCCACTGAGCACCAGCCATTGATTTGAATAGGCCGCCATCTTGGATCACTGCGGCTCGCGATTAAGCAGAACAGACATGTGTCGAGATGCAGTATTAAAAGTGCTTCATGAACACATTTTCTTTTTGTGTATTTACACAGACAGACACAGACACACACACACAGACAGACACACAGACACAGACAGACACACACACAGACACACACACACACACAGACACACACAGACACAGACAGACACACACAGACACAGACAGACACACACAGACAGACACACAGACAGACACACAGACACAGACACACACGGACACAGACACACACACACACAGACAAACACAGACAGACACACACAGACAGACACACAGACACAGACAGACACACACACAGACACACACACACACACACAGACAGACACACACACACACAGACACACAGACACAGACAGACACACACAGACAGACACACAGACACAGACACACACACACACAGACAAACACAGACACAGACAGACACACACAGACACAGACAGACAGACACACAGACAGACACACAGACACAGACAAACACAGACAGACAGACACAGACAGACACACACAGACACACACACAGACACACACACACACACACAGACACACACACACACACACACACACCTGGCAGAGGCGGTCTTCAGGTCAGTGAAGTGTGTGTGTAGGATGCGGATGCAGTCGTAGCAGAGAACGTTGACGAGGTCGATGTGGGACAGACGCTCTCGGAGTCGACCAATCATCTGCCACCAATCCTCCGACAGCATCGAGTACAGCTGCCCCTCATCCTCACTCAGAGCCACATACCACGACAGGATGTAGTCTCTGTAGGCCAGGTCAAACACTGCACACACACAACACGTCATCTCTCTGTCTCTGGTCCCTCTCTCTCTCTCTGGTCTCTCTCTCTCTCTCTGGTCTCTCTCTCTCTCTCTCTGGTCCCTCTCTCTCTCTCTCTGGTCTCTCTCTCTCTCTCTCTCTGGTCCCTCTCTCTCTCTCTCTGGTCCCTCTCTCTCTCTGGTCCCTCTCTCTCTCTGGTCCCTCTCTCTCTCTGGTCTCTCCCTCTCTCTGGTCCTCTCTCTCTCTCTGGTCCCTCTCTCTCTCTCTGGTCCCTCTCTCTCTCTGGTCCCTCTCTCTCTCTGGTCCCTCTCTCTCTCTCTGGTCTCTCTCTCTCTCTCTGGTCTCTCTCTCTCTCTCTCTGGTCCCTCTCTCTCTGGTCACTCTCTCTCTCTGGTCCCTCTCTCTCTCTGGTCCCTCTCTCTCTCTGGTCCCTCTCTCTCTCTGGTCTCTCTCTCTCTCTGGTCCCTCTCTCTCTCTGGTCCCTCTCTCTCTCTGGTCCCTCTCTCTCTCTGGTCCCTCTCTCTCTCTGGTCCCTCTCTCTCTCTCTGGTCCCTCTCCCTCTCTCTGGTCCCTCTCTCTCTCTGGTCTCACTCTCTCTCTCTGGTCCCTCTCTCTCTCTGGTCCCACTCTCTCTCTCTGGTCCCACTCTCTCTCTCTGGTCCCACTCTCTCTCTGGTCCCTCTCTCTCTCTGGTCCCTCTCTCTCTCTGGTCTCTCCCTCTCTCTGGTCCTACTCTCTCTCTCTGGTCCCTCTCTCTCTCTCTGGTCCCTCTCTCTCTCTGGTCCCACTCTCTCTCTCTGGTCCCACTCTCTCTCTGGTCCCTCTCTCTCTCTCTGGTCCACTCTCTCTCTCTGGTCCCACTCTCTCTCTCTGGTCCCACTCTCTCTCTCTGGTCCCACTCTCTCTCTCTGGTCCCACTCTCTCTCTCTGGTCCCACTCTCTCTCTCTGGTCTCTCTCTCTCTCTGGTCTCTCTCTCTCTCTGGTCTCTCTCTCTCTCTGGTCTCTCTCTCTCTCTGGTCCCACTCTCTCTCTGGTCCCACTCTCTCTCTCTGGTCTCACTCTCTCTGGTCCCTCTCTCTCTCTCTGGTCTCTCTCTGGTCTCACTCTCTCTGGTCCCTCTCTCTCTCTCTGGTCCCTCTCTCTCTGGTCCCTCTCTCTCTGGTCCCTCTCTCTCTCTGGTCCCACTCTCCCTGGTCCCACTCTCCCTGGTCCCTCTCTCTCTCTCTGGTCCCACTCTCTCTCTGGTCCCACTCTCTCTCTGGTCCCTCTCTCTCTCTGGTCCCTCTCTCTCTCCCTCTCTGGTCCCACTCTCTCTCTCTGGTCCCACTCTCTCTCTCTGGTCTCTCTCTCTCTGGTCCCTCTCTCTCTGGTCCCTCTCTCTCTCTCTGGTCCCTCTCTCTCTGGTCCCACTCTCTCTCTGGTCCCACTCTCTCTCTCTGGTCTCTCTCTCTCTGGTCCCTCTCTCTCTCTCTGGTCCCTCTCTCTCTGGTCCCACTCTCTCTCTGGTCCCACTCTCTCTCTGGTCCCACTCTCTCTCTGGTCCCTCTCTCTCTCTGGTCCCTCTCTCTCTCCCTCTCTGGTCCCACTCTCTCTCTCTGGTCCCACTCTCTCTCTCTGGTTCTCTCTCTCCCTCTCTGGTCCCTCTCTCTCTCCCTCTCTGGTCCCACTCTCTCTCTCTGGTCTCTCTCTCTCTCTCTGGTCCCTCTCTCTCTCTCTGGTCCCTCTCTCTCTCTCTGGTCCCTCTCTCTCTCTCTGGTCCCTCTCTCTCTCTCTGGTCCCTCTCTCTCTCTCTGGTCCCTCTCTCTCTCTCTGGTCCCTCTCTCTCTCTGGTCCCTCTCTCTCTCTCTGGTCCCTCTCTCTCTCTCTGGTCCCTCTCTCTCTCTCTGGTCCCTCTCTCTCTCTCTGGTCCCTCTCTCTCCCTCTGGTCCCTCTCTCTCTCTCTCTGGTCTCTCTCCCTGGACTCTCTCCCTGGACTCTCTCCCTGGTCTCTCTTCCTGGTCTCTCTTCCTGGTCTCTCTTCCTGGTCTCTCTCTGGTCTCTCTCTCTGGTCTCTCTCCCTGGACTCTCTCCCTGGACTCTCTCCCTGGACTCTCTCCCTGGACTCTCTCCCTGGACTCTCTCCCTGGACTCTCTCCCTGGTCTCTCTCCCTGGTCTCTCTTCCTGGTCTCTCTTCCTGGTCTCTCTCTGGTCTCTCTCTCTGGTCTCTCTCTCTGGTCCCTCTCTCTCTGGTCCCTCTCTCTCTGGTCTCTCTCTCTGGTCTCTCTCTCTGGTCTCTCTCTGGCCTCTCTCTGGTCTCTCTCTGGCCTCTCTCTGGTCTCTCTCTCTGGTCCCTCTCTCCCTGGTCTCTCTCCCTGGTCTCTCTCCCTGGTCTCTCTCCCTGGTCTCTCTCCCTGGTCTCTCTCCCTGGTCTCTCTCCCTGGTCTCTCTCCCTGGTCTCTCTCCCTGGTCTCTCTCCCTGGTCTCTCTCCCTGGTCTCTCTCTCTCTGCTCTCACACCAGTGTACCTTCTTTGAGCGACTTGTCCATATTGTGAGACACCACGACTCTCCGGCTCGACTCTGGTATTGGCACCAGGAACCGGCCCTGTGGGGACAAGAGGAGCAGGGGTTAGAGCTACGGTCCCGTCTCTGGTCCCGTCCCCAGAGAGAGAGACCAAGAGACTAGAGAGAGACCAGAGAGAGACCAGAGAGAGACCAGAGAGAGACCAGAGAGAGACCACAGAGAGAGACCAGAGAGAGAGACCAGAGAGAGAGACCAGAAAGAGACCACAGAGAGAGAGACCAGAGAGGGACCAGAGAGGGACCAGAGAGAGAGACCAGAAAGAGACCAGAGAGAGACCAGAGAGAGAGACCACAGAGAGAGAGACCAGAGAGAGACCAGAGAGAGAGACCAGAGAGAGAGACCAGAGAGAGACCAGAGAGAGACCAGAGAGAGACCAGAGAGAGAGACCAGAAATAGACCAGAGAGAGACCACAGAGAGAGACCACAGAGAGAGAGAGAGAGACCAGAGAGAGACCACAGAGAGAGACCAGAGAGAGAGACCACAGAGAGAGACCATACCGCACCTGGTACATGCAGTATGAATGTCCTTTTACGCTGCCATAAGTGACACATGTTTGATGGTTTTAGCATAAACCAGATGAACACACACTGACCATGAGCTGACTGAAGAAGGCGTGGTCCCTGGGGCAGGTGTGGCGGCTGAAGTGGCGGACCATCAGTGGACTCTGGCGAGTGAGCAGCACGAAGCTGCCGGCCAGAAAACAGAGCAGAGCGAACGACACGTACACGAAGACTTTGAGGAAGAAGGAGGTGAGGCCTCCCCACAGCAGCTGCAGCACTACAGCCACACACAGGCCCAGGGCCAAGGCAGGGAGCAGCCGCAGAGGGGCCCCGAGGGGAGGGGCCCCGAGGGGAGAGGCCCCGAGGGGAGGGGCCCCGAGGCCAGGAGGCATGGGCTCTGCTGCGGCCTGCGCTGTGGAGACACAGGAACACATCAGATTTAACTGAGACATGGCTGTCATCTGTCCAGACACCAGAGAGACACCAGAGAGACACCAGAGAGACACCAGAGAGAGAGACCAGAGAGAGAGACCAGAGAGAGACCAGAGAGAGACCAGAGAGACACCAGAGAGAGACCAGAGAGAGACCAGAGAGAGACCAGAGAGACACCAGAGAGACACCAGAGAGAGACCAGAGAGAGACACCAGAGAGAGAGACCAGAGAGAGACCAGAGAGAGACCAGAGAGACACCAGAGAGAGAGACCAGAGAGAGACCAGAGAGAGACCAGAGAGAGACCAGAGAGAGACCAGAGAGAGAGACCAGAGAGAGACCAGAGAGAGACCAGAGAGACACCAGAGACACCAGAGAGAGACCAGAGAGAGACACCAGAGAGAGACCAGAGAGAGACCAGAGAGACACCAGAGAGAGAGACCAGAGAGAGACCAGAGAGAGACCAGAGAGACACCAGAGAGACACCAGAGAGACACCAGAGAGACACCAGAGAGAGACCAGAGAGACACCAGAGAGACACCAGAGAGACACCAGAGAGACACCAGAGAGACACCAGAGAGACACCAGAGAGAGAGACCAGAGAGAGAGACCAGAGAGAGAGACCAGAGAGAGACCAGAGAGAGACCAGAGAGACACCAGAGAGACACCAGAGAGACACCAGAGAGACACCAGAGAGACACCAGAGAGACACCAGAGAGAGACCAGAGAGACACCAGAGAGACACCAGAGAGACACCAGAGAGACACCAGAGAGACACCAGAGAGACACCAGAGAGAGAGACCAGAGAGAGAGACCAGAGAGAGAGACCAGAGAGAGAGACCAGAGAGAGAGACCAGAGAGAGAGACCAGAGAGAGAGACCAGAGAGAGAGACCAGAGAGAGACCAGAGAGAGACCAGAGAGAGACCAGAGAGAGAGACCAGAGAGAGAGACCAGAGAGAGACCAGAGAGAGACCAGAGAGAGACCAGAGAGAGACCAGAGAGAGACCAGAGAGAGAGACCAGAGAGAGAGACCAGAGAGAGAGACCAGAGAGAGAGACCAGAGAGAGAGACCAGAGAGAGACCAGAGAGAGACCAGAGAGAGAGACCAGAGAGAGAGACCAGAGAGAGAGACCAGAGAGAGAGACCAGAGAGAGAGACCAGAGAGGGAGACCAGAGAGAGACCAGAGAGAGACCAGAGAGAGACCAGAGAGAGACTAGAGAGAGAGACCAGAAAGAGACCAGAGAGAGACCAGAGAGACACCAGAGAGACACCAGAGAGAGACCAGAGAGACACCAGAGAGAGACCAGAGAGAGAGACCAGAGAGAGACCAGAGAGCGATTGTGAATTACCAAAAATAAATTCTAGTGCTCTCACCTCTGGCTGAGACGGAGGCTGAGGGCGCGGGCATACTGCGGCCCCCACATCCATACAGGCCCCACGGCTCTGAGGACCAGCAGCAGGACCAGCAGCAGGACCAGCAGCAGGACCAGAAGCAGGACCAGCAGAAGGGAGGTAGAGAAAAGCTCTCCCCAGGACTAGCACTGCCTCCTGGGACAGAGACATGTCTGCTGTGTCATGGCACCGCGCTCCCAGCTCCGCTCATCCCAACACTGCAGATGACACATGTTCATTTTACATTTGTCCTGTAGTCCATCCACCCATTTTCTTCCCCTTCATCCATTTCTGTGTCGCAGGGGTGGCAGTCAGAGCGGCATCTTCTGAAGTAATTTATGTAATTATTCTAGAATTGTTTTGACTTATTTAATTGATTAAAAAAACAGAATTTAAGAAGAACTATGTCGGACACAGAACTCTGAAGGGTCCGTCTGTGAAGGGTCCGTCTGTGAAGGGTCCGTCTGTGAAGGGTCCGTCTGTGAAGGGTCCGTCTGTGAAGGGTCCGTCTGTGAAGGGTCCGTCTGTGAAGGGTCCGTCTGTGAAGGGTCCGTCTGTGAAGGGTCCGTCTGTGAAGGATCCGTCTGTGAAGGATCCGTCTGTGAAGGATCCGTCTGTGAAGGGTCCGTCTGTGAAGGGTCTGTGAAGGGTCCGTCTGTGAAGGGTCCGTCTGTGAAGGATCCGTCTGTGAAGGATCCGTCTGTGAAGGGTCTGTCTGTGAAGGGTCCGTCTGTGAAGGGTCCGTCTGTGAAGGATCCGTCTGTGAAGGATCCGTCTGTGAAGGGTCTGTCTGTGAAGGATCCGTCTGTGAAGGGTCTGTCTGTGAAGGGTCCGTCTGTGAAGGGTCTGTCTGTGAAGGGTCCGTCTGTGAAGGATCTGTCTGTGAAGGGTCTGTCTGTGAAGGGTCCGTCTGTGAAGGATCCGTCTGTGAAGGATCCGTCTGTGAAGGGTCTGTCTGTGAAGGGTCTGTCTGTGAAGGGTCTGTCTGTGAAGGGTCCGTCTGTGAAGGATCCGTCTGTGAAGGGTCCGTCTGTGAAGGGTCCGTCTGTGAAGGGTCCGTCTGTGAAGGGTCCGTCTGTGAAGGATCTGTCTGTGAAGGGTCTGTCTGTGAAGGATCTGTCTGTGAAGGGTCTGTCTGTGAAGGGTCTGTCTGTGAAGGGTCTGTCTGTGAAGGGTCCGTCTGTGAAGGGTCCGTCTGTGAAGGGTCCGTCTGTGAAGGGTCCGTCTGTGAAGGATCTGTCTGTGAAGGGTCTGTCTGTGAAGGGTCTGTCTGTGAAGGGTCTGTCTGTGAAGGATCCGTCTGTGAAGGGTCTGTCTGTGAAGTGTCTGTCTGTGAAGGGTCCGTCTGTGAAGGGTCTGTCTGTGAAGGATCTGTCTGTGAAGGGTCCGTCTGTGAAGGATCCGTCTGTGAAGGGTCCGTCTGTGAAGGATCCGTCTGTGAAGGGTCCGTCTGTGAAGGATCTGTCTGTGAAGGATCTGTCTGTGAAGGATCTGTCTGTGAAGGGTCTGTCTGTGAAGGGTCTGTCTGTGAAGGGTCCGTCTGTGAAGGATCTGTCTGTGAAGGATCTGTCTGTGAAGGATCTGTCTGTGAAGGATCTGTCCGTGGGCCTCTAGCTCTGTCTGTGAAGGATCTGTCTGTGAAGGGTCTGTCTGTGAAGGGTCTGTCTGTGAAGGGTCTGTCTGTGAAGGGTCTGTCTGTGAAGGGTCTGTCTGTGAAGGATCTGTCTGTGAAGGGTCTGTCTGTGAAGGGTCTGTCTGTGAAGGGTCTGTCTGTGAAGGGTCTGTCTGTGAAGGGTCTGTCTGTGAAGGGTCTGTCTGTGAAGGGTCTGTCTGTGAAGGGTCTGTCTGTGAAGGGTCCGTCTGTGAAGGGTCTGTCTGTGAAGGGTCTGTCTGTGAAGGGTCTGTCTGTGAAGGATCTGTCTGTGAAGGGTCTGTGAAGGGTCCGTCTGTGAAGGATCTGTCTGTGAAGGATCTGTCTGTGGAGGATCTGTCCGTGGGCCTGTAGCTCTGTCTGTGGAGGATCTGTCCGTGGGCCTGTAGCTCTGTCTGTGGAGGATCTGTCCGTGGGCCTGTAGCTCTGTCTGTGAAGGGTCTGTCTGTGAAGGGTCCGTCTGTGAAGGATCTGTCTGTGAAGGATCTGTCTGTGGAGGATCTGTCCGTGGGCCTGTAGCTCTGTCTGTGAAGGATCTGTCTGTGAAGGATCTGTCTGTGGAGGATCTGTCCGTGGGCCTGTAGCTCAGTCTGTGGAGGATCTGTCTGTGAAGGGTCTGTCTGTGAAGGATCTGTCTGTGAAGGATCTGTCTGTGAAGGGTCTGTCCGTGGGCCTGTAGCTCAGTCTGTGAAGGATCAGTCTGTGGAGGATCTGTCCGTGGGCCTGTAGCTCAGTCTGTGGAGGATCTGTCCGTGGGCAGTGACCTGTAGCTTAGCGTCTGTTGCTAACGACCCCGTTCAGGCGGAAGCGGTGAAAACAACAACATGAAGCAGTGTTTGAGGTTAAACACAGAGCAGAGGATGAGGAGCGTGAGGCACATGTGATTGGACTGACCCTGACTCCACTGACTGCGTCTGTAGCATGTAGCTGTGATGCTAACGGCTAGCTCTGATGCTGTAAGGACGCGCTCGGAGAACCACACGGCTGCACCTTTGTGGCGATGGGAGGCAGGCAGCTACATCCTCCGGTGGTCCCGGTGAGGTCCCGGTCTGGTCCGGTCTGTACGGCCCCGTGACTGTCCACAGCGGAGAGGGAGAAGTGACAGGAGCAAACACAAGCCCGTGTGTTGATGTCTGCTCCAGCTGAGACTCTGCAGAGGCGGAGCTGCGCTGACGGACCCGCGCTCACACGTCCCTCCCACAGCAGGAGCCAATTCACTTCAACACATTATGAAAAGACTGTCCTGTTGTTTTCCAACCATCATTATTTGATGCTGCTAACATTTTAAAAAGTATTCTTCATCTGTCTGAAAGTTCTGTCTACTGGCCAACATGTAGAGACCATAAGACTTGGGAGAGACCAGAAAGAGACCAGAGAGACCGGGTAGAGATCAGAGAGAGAGACCAGGGTGAGACCAGGGTGAGACCAGGGTGAGACCAGGGAGAGACCAGGGTGAGACCAGGGTGAGACCAGGGTGAGACCAGGGTGAGACCAGGGTGAGACCAGGGTGAGACCAGGGTGAGACCAGAGAGACTGTTTTTTAGCGCAGTGGAAATGAGGCTATAGTAAAGTCGAGGCAGAACATCTCGATGCAGTTCGTGTATATCATATATATTTTAGATTCAAAAAATAAAGATTCAAATCAAACTGTTTAGATTCAAATCAATAAATACAATATGGTATTGTATTTATTGATTTGAATCCAAACCAAAGAATTTCCAACCCTTTTTGAGACACCGACTTGTTCAAGACAGGAGTGATTTCTTTGTGCAAGATTTATTCAGGCTCAGCAAATACAGCAAATACAGCAAATACAGCAAATACAGCAAATACAGCAAATACAGCAAATAGCAAAATAGCAAAATAGCAAAACCTCTTCCTCTTTCACTTAGGGTTAGCTTCCTGTTTTCGGTCCCTCACTCTCAGCACTTCCTCTTTACCGTCACGCCTTGATCCCAGACGCGGATCATCTCTGTCTTGTGCGTGTGGCAGTGGAAGAAAGCCTCCAAGCGTGTGTCTAGCGCTGGGTTTTGCTGCCACCTACAGGCCACAAACGTGTAGTGCATGGATCGGCTTCGCAGGACGATGTATTTAAAGGAGCAATATGTAATATTTGCATGTCAAGTCATCATTAAATGACCCGAATATTTCAAGTCTGGTTTAGTCTGGTTCAGTCTGGTTTAGTCTGGTGTAGTCTGGTTTAGTCTGGTTTAGACTGGTTTAGTCTGGTTTAGTCCGGTTTAGTCTGGTTTAGTCTGCAGTGAGCACATGGTCCTTCAGCTCCAAGCTGTAATACCCAGTTATTATAATAGATCCATGGTTCATGTTCACTGTGGCTGTATCCGAATGTCCACACTATACCCTATATAGTGCACTATATAGTGGTCACGCCATTTTGTAGGGGTGTCCGAATGTCCAGAGAGAAAAAGTAGTGCACTGGAATTTTCCCACAATGCATCTCGAAAATGTAGTGAGCAGCGATGGTCACTATACGGAAGTAAAATGGCGGAGGCAGCGAGAGACGAGCTGGAAGAGGAGCAACACATGAGCTATAAATGTGAGTTTTTAATCATCATAAATATGTAAATGTGTAAACCGTGATATATTGTTGACGATAAGCTGCCAAAATACACATTTGAAGTCAGAATACCATTGCCTTTTACTGCGAAACAACGTACCAATGTTATGCCGCGAAAGTGTTAGCATTTTCGCATATCATAACATTAACATCTAAAGCGAACGCTACAGAAACGGGTCACTGGTGGTCAGTCATTAATGTTATTAAAGCACTTGTGTTATATGTATAGCATTTATTGTGTGTTTAATGTTTTTTAAAGGGACAGACACTGATGTGGAGAGACTCATCTGACTGCGGGTGAAAAATTTGCTTCGGCGGCTGGATGGGAGTATGACCATTATGAATGAATACTTATTCAAAAAACGTCTACTCGTATTCAAATGCTTTTATGTATCGTTACTTTAGGGCAGTGATAAAGGAAATGGGGCTGAGCCGCCTGATCAGCCCTGCCAGAGCGGCCAAGAAGTGGGAGAACCTGAAAAAGACCTACAAGGTTTGTTTCTTTGAAGCTAATTTGTGAAGCATTTATTATACAAAACTCACTGTTTTAAGGAGCTCAGACAGCCACGGACAGGGACAGGGACAGAAGGAGGGGAGCCTACCGCCATATCGTGGAAGTGGTACTCCCTCATGGATGAGGCAATAGGCAGCAGGCCATCTGTGCAGCCTCCCTGCCTGATTGCCTCATCCATGGGGGAGGGTGTTTCCACATCTGTGGAACAACCCCCTCCCCCCGTACAGCCAGAGGAGGTAGAGGAAGAGGAAAGCAGTGTGGCAGCCAAGAGGCCGAGGAGGGAGAGTTGAATTAGTTTTTTGGAGAAGGTGGAGAAGAAGGAAGAGGAAAGGGAGAAGCGAGAAGAGGAGAGGGGAAGAAGAGAGGAAGAGAGAGAGGAGAGACTGTTGAGTTTGTTGGAGAGAATTGTTGAGAAGTTGTAAATAGTAGATAAAAATGTATTTTGATAAGTGTAGTTTGAACTATATGCATATCGACATACAATGATGAACACTATTTACACAAAAAAAATTTAATCAACTAGACATTTGTAAAGAAAACTATACATACATGCAACAATTTCTTTTTAGATATTTACATATTCAATTGTTTTTGTTTTTATTTAAATAGGCCAAAACACAGATTATTCAAACATTTAATTAATAGTCGTGGTCCCGAAGAGCTGGTAGCCTGGCCCTTGGGGTGGAAAGTGCTGCTGCCATCCGTCCACGCAGCTCCTGTCCACACAGCTCCTGTCCACACAGCTCCTGTCCACACAGCTCCTGTCCACACAGCTCCTGTCCACACAGCTCCTGTCCACACAGCTCCTGTCCACACAGCTCCTGTCCACACAGCTCCTGTCCACACAGCTCCTGTCCACGCAGCTCCTGTCCACGCAGCTCCTGTCCACGCAGCTCCTGTCCACACAGCTCCTGTCCACACAGCTCCTGTCCACACAGCTCCTGTCCACACAGCTCCTGTCCACACAGCTCCTGTCCACACAGCTCCTGTCCACACAGCTCCTGTCCACACAGCTCCTGTCCACACAGCTCCTGTCCACACAGCTCCTGTCCACACAGCTCCTGTCCACACTGCTGATCAGGCTGGTGCTGCTGATGCTGGTCCTGTCCACACAGCTCCTGTCCACACTGCTGATCAGGCTGGTGCTGCTGATGCTGGTCCTGCTCATCATCAGGCCCTGGCTCCTCTTCCACTGGCTTCTAGAGATCACCATCGCTGATGCAGATGTTGTGCAGGATGGCGCAACGGGCAGTCACCTCGACTGCAAAGGTGGGTTGGACTTCCAGTGCCTTGGAATAAAATGGATCGCCATCTTGCTTTCATCATACCAAACGCTCTTTCTGTTACAGATCGTGCCCGTGCATGGTGCCGGTTGAAGCGGGCTTCCACTGGGCTCCGAACAGGCTCTCTGTATGGAGTGAGGAGTGTGATGGGCTGACGGAGGCAAGGGTAGCCACCATCACCAAGGAGGACGTGTCCATTTGGGGAATAGAGCCGGTGGACATACAGGGGGCTGTTTTTAAGCACCCGAGAATCGTGCACAGATCCGGGGTAGCCAACAAACAAATCAATAAATAAGCCACGGTGATTACACACAGCCTGCATTTGAATAGAATAAAACAATTTCCTGTTAAAATAACACTGTGCATTTTCTTGAAGGGGCTTTATTCTGATGTGGCAGCCGTCGATGCTCCCCACAACATTATTGAGAGCAGCTGATCCAGTCAACAGCTGAAACCCAGCTACAACTTGGGGCAGTTCCTCCAGGAAAGGGAAATGAATTATTTGGCCACGCATTTGAAGGATCTGGTTGGCCACCCTGTGGATCACATCGTGGACTGTGGACTGGGGCATGTCAAATGCCCTGGCGACAACACGGTACGCGGTGCCACTGGCCAACCAAAAGAGGAAGACCAAAACCTCCATGTCCTGGCTCCAGCCCTGGTGATGAGCACTCCTCAGGTGGCTAACCAGACGGGTGATGGTGGTTCGAGTGAGACGAAAATCGGGGCGAAGGTCAGACTGGCCATTTAAGTACATGCTGACTAGGGGTACATGGTGGTTCAGTCGGCAGTACACCGGTGGTTCACCCTAAAACAAAACAAAAATTCTCTTAAACTTAATATGATACTTCTAGATTCATTTTTTAATTCTGTATCTGCACTTTTAGTTATGAGTGCAGACACAGGAATAAGTACTCATTTTTCATTTTGAGAGTCATGTTCTTTTGTGCCCTGGCATTGATTTTGCCAAATGTATTGTGTGTTGCAGGGAGCTGGAGCTGCCCTGAGACAACTGAAGTAGAAACCCTCACTACATCACTCGCACCTAATAACACACAAAAAAAAATCACAGAAGCCCTGTGCCCCATGGCCAAGCAAATTCTATTATTGTTTAATGATTAAGTACTCATTTTTCATTTAGAAAAAATGAGTACTTAATCCATTTCCCTTGCTATGGTTTTGTGTTCTTTCAACCAATAAAATATTTTAATGTTCTTGCATTTTAAGTGAGTGTGTCTATACAATGTGTTTTCTTGTTGAAATATGTCTAAATGTATATGACTAATGTGTTTCTCATTGACTGAGAATAGTATTTTTAATTAGTAAGTACACCAAAAGTACTATAATTTACCCAGTAGATGGTGCTAATGCTATGTAGACAAAGGACGAATACAATACTTACACGACGCCTTGCTAATGAAAGAAGAGCCATTCTCCTCCTCCGCCTCATCGCCTGTCTTCGCCTTCTCTCTGTTCGGCGGTTTTTAATTCGCATTATGAGAAGTTGTATAATTGTTAACAAAAACACCGCAAAATTCAGTGGAGGTGCCATTTCACCAGTGTTAGAGGAGCCGGTCAGGTGGTGGGAATATGAAAGACGTCAACCAAAATTCATAAATATGAATATAAATTGTAAAAACATTTTATACATGTATATTAGACATTTAATATACTTTTATTTATATATAAAATTATATTGATCCAATGACATGTGACAGGGGTGTGATGCGGGCCACGGCTAAAAATAGTGTGCATGTGTCCGAATCGCCAACAGAATGAGTGCACTGACTCACTCACTCAGTCGCTATATAGTCCCGAACTATATAGTGAGTGAGTGAATAGGGTATAGTGTGGACATTCGGATACAGCCTGTGGTTTGTTGTCAGTTGGTGCGTCAGTATAATCGGTCCGTCTGAAACTCATCCCGTGAGAAACGTTCCGCGGTGCAAAAATAAATACGATTAAAATACGTCAATTTTTTTAAGGCACTCATTTTTTTTATAATTAATTAATCTTAATGAACTCGTTAAAGTCCCGGCCCGACCAAAAACATGAGACTTTTCTCAGCCTTAAACACAGTTGTATCTTTGAAGTTCCATGTAAGTGGTACATAAATGTGAGAAACTATTTGAACATAATATAAACATGAGTTAAAGACATTGACAGTAACAGATGTTTGTGTGAATCATTTATAATCATTTAAAGTGTGTTTGCAGTTTCATATGAAACACTTTAGTGTGTAGTGTTTCTGTGCAGTGAACTGACCTGAGTGTCTCCAGTCGACAGTCTGGACTCTGTAGAAAACCACACAGATCAGACACTGCTGAATCAGACAGATTGTTCTGACTCAGGTCCAGGAGTGTGAGATGTGAGGGGTTGGACTCCAGAGCTGAGGCCACAGAGGACCAGCTGATCTCTGACAAACCACAGTCCCTCAACCTGAATAAAGAAAACATGATGTAATGAGCACAAAAGAGAAACGATAAAAACATGAAAAGAAAAGTGACTGAAAACAAATCTATAGAAAGACTCAGTTTTTAATGTTTTTAATGTTTCTTCAGAACAAACTGAGGTCAGTGTTTGTGACTTAATTACAAAGTGACTTTTGAACCAAGTTTAAATGAACTCATGGTTTAAGACAGTGGCGCAAAAAGGGCATATGCAAGGTATGCCTTGCATATGGGCGCCGAAAGGACGGGGGGCGCCAAAAGGACGGGGCGAGAGAGAAAAAAATATTTAAATATAGTCGGACAGCAGAGCACCATTGGCCATTTCCTCATAGCACTTGACATTGGCGCCCCCTAGCGTCAACAGCGCCCCATTACACCAACAACAGCAAAATCTTTATTCACTCGTGGCGCCATGCTAACAAGGACCTAGTGATGGAGAGGCAGAAAAAAAAGCCCTCGGGGGCGCAAAACAGAAAACGGAAGATTGAGGAGAAGAAAGATTGCGCAGGGATGAAAAAAAGCTTTTCGAAGTGGCTGAAAAACAGTGGGTAAGTAATGTCTGTGTTTAGTGTTCGGTGTTGGCCATCACAAGGAGCCAACTTGTAAATCTTCAGGTTAGCTTAAACTACTAGTAAAACCACAGGTTTGTTGGCTTGCTGCTGCAACTGTAGACTATCAGTGTAGGGGGTAACATAACGTATTATAAAAGTAGAGTTACGAAAATACTCTACCTTAGTTTCTTTTTTCAGTAACTAAGGAATAATATTACTTTGAGAAAATACGGAAATATAACTTGAGTTACAAGTGCATTTAAATGTATGGGGGGAAAAAAGCCAAACTAAACCCAAATAAAATGCAGCATTACTCCTTTTTATTAATAATTATTTCCTGTGATGTTTTGGGTCCAACATGATGATAAATGTAGGCCTGTACAACAAGGATAGCATTTCATAAAATGTTTTTTTTTTTTAATTGGCTTGATTGCTGTATTGTAAGCCTCCTTAACACAGATTTCATGTCATTCAGGAAGGAGGATGGAGATAAAGACAAGAACAGAGAGAAAGAATCAGAACAGGCAGAGGAAGGCAACAGGTTGGTCGAATTATATTAGATGGAAGTGTAGGAACAACCACTTGATACCAAAAGATTACTTTCTAAATATTATATTGAAAATGTATATTGTAATTAAATTATTCAAAGTTAATAACGAGTACGCTAATGCTTGTTTGACAATATGACTTGTTTGACAATATAACTTAGTGGAGAAGAACACAGGCAGGGGGCAAAGGAGACAGACATGAGGTCAGCGATGGCATCTGCTATAGAGAAGACCAGTCATGGCACCAGGTAGGAATAATTAAACTAGTGAGGAACTAAAAACTAAATGCCCAGTATGGTTTCGATTTCTGTTGACCAACCTATTCACTACGTCCTTTTTGGAAAATTAGTGCAGGCAGAAATGACCAGTCAATCCCCACAGAGGAGAATGCAGAACAGAGAGGTGAAGAGGAGAGAGAGGGGCAAGAGAGGTGAAGAGGAGAGGGAGAGACAAAGAGGTGAACAAGATGTTGAAGACAATCTGAGAAGTGAAGATGATGATGAAGATCTAAGAGGTGAAGAGGAGAGCGAGGAACAGAGAAGCGAAGTGGAGAGGGCTGGGGCAAGGCCTTACTTAGGAGATCCCTCTGAATGGCCTTCACCACATGAAATGAGGGATTCATTTAGGCAGTGCTTGGTTGAGAATGGCCCACAGAAATGTCCTGATGGGCCATATCCAAGATCAGAAAAGAGTAAGAGGTGTTTTTCCAAAGCATACTGTTTTCGTTTACTGTCAAATGGAGAGAAAGTGGAGCGGGATTGGTTAATGTACTCCAAAAGTTCTAACAGAGTCTATTGTTTTGCATGTAAGCTGTTTGGTGAAGCTAGAGTTGTTGACAGGCGCCTTCTGGTGGGGTATAATAACTGGCAGTGTCTTTCAAAAACACTAAAGCGCCATGAAACCACTACTGATCACATAATAAATGCTTATATGAAGTGGAAAGAATTGGCATCCCGCTTACGCCTAGGTAAAACTATAGATAGTGATTTGCAGAGAGCCATGGCCGCTGAAAAAGCACACTGGAGAAGTGTGTTGACTCGAGTGATCGACTGCATACTCTTCCTTGCTGAAAGGAACCTGCCACTGAGGGGGAAGAATGAACAGTTAGGAAATCCTAAAAATGGAAATTTTCTGGGTATCCTTGAGCTCATAGCACGGTATGATGTTACACTAGCAGAGCATCTTAGAAAGACTGCCTCTAAGAAAACCACAGGATATCTGTCCTGGTGCACTCAAAATGAATTTTTAAATTCAATATCAGAATGTATTTTACGTAAAATTGGTGCCCAGATCAAAGCTTCCAAGTACTTTGCAGTGGAATTGGACTGCACACCTGATATTTCAAAGCAGGAGCAGGCCTCAGTTATCATAAGGTATGTGCATACAGATGAGAAGAGGAATGTGACTATAACCGAGTCATTTGTGGGGTTCACTGCTGTGAAGGACACAACTGGGAAAGGCCTCACAGATTCACTGACCGGGGTACTGGATAGTCTGGGTTTGGAGCTGGCTAATTGTAGAGGGCAAAGTTATGACAATGGAGCTAATATGAGGGGAATACACAAGGGTGTCCAGGCTTTAATACAGCAGAGATGTCCAGAGGCTCATTTCATTCCCTGCTGTAGCCACAGCCTGAACCTTTTGTTATGTGATGCAGCCTCATCAAACAAAGAGTGTCTAACCTTCTTTGGCACTCTTCAAAGACTGTACACCATATTTTCATCTTCTGTGAAGAGGTGGGATATTCTTACAGAATTTGTTGACATCACTCTGAAGCCTTTGAGTGACACCAGATGGGAAGCAAAGCTAGACTCTGTCAAAGCTGTACGTTTTCAATTGGGGGGTGTTCTAGATGCGCTGGAAAAGCTTGAGGAAGTGTCAGGAGATAGCAAAATAGTATCCGAAGCAAGGTCACTGTCTGACGAGATTGTAAGTATGGAGTTCCTTATGTGCCTCTTGGTTTGGTACAACTTATTGTCAGAGATCAACTTTGCAAGCAAGGCACTACAAGCAGCAGAAGTGTCAATGGACACAGCCATTAGACTGATAGAGTCTCTGAAAGAGTTTGTGCTGAAATATAGAGATGAGGGCTTTGAGAAGTCCCTTGACATTGCACGCAGGATAGCCATTGAAATGCATGCTTCTCCAGAATTCAAAGAGAGGCGTTTAAGGAAGCAAAAGAGGTTCCACGATGACAATTCCAGCACTGGTCATCACGAAAAGGAACCAGAGAGGCACTTTAGGTGCATGGTTTTTAATGTCATTGTCGACACAGTATTGCAAGAGTTGTCTGACAGGTTTACCAATCTTGACATTTTGTCTACCAAATTTGCATTCATTGCTCAAATGGATCAGATGACAAAAGCTGAGTTGGAAGAATCAGTCACAAAGGGTAAAGAAGGGTTTGACCACTTACTGGTCATTTACAGAGACAAATGTTTTTCAACGTTTTCAAGGATTACAGACAAGACACAATTTACCAACAGATTTTTTTAGGTACCTCCAGGTCCAACTTTAATTCTAAATGTAAATCAGCTCATTTTACTGACTCTGAAGAAGAGTTTTTAAAACACTAAAGTCAGCATATGGGTCTATGTCACAGAGAATGATTTAGAGAATTTACAAAGCCATATTTCCAAATGACAGATGTGAGACTGTCTATATAGTTTTGGTTTGTGTAAGCCCTCAGTCGTACAGGGATTAGTCAAAGCAAAGGAAGGTTTCTCACCCATCATCTGTACTTCTTAGCAAGTTTTCCCGACGTTTCGTCCTCAAACTAGCGGACTTCTTCAGGGAATGAATTCTCGGACCGCGCATTGGAGATTTATAACCTATGGGTGTGGTTAGCCACACCCTAATCCTGATACTAACTCATAAACAATCTAAGGTCTGCTTGATGTAGAAGGGAGCAGATCTAACGATCCTGCTGAGGCTAACGACCCTAACTCATTAGCATGTCACAGACCTATTGTCTGCTGGGATGCTCAAGTGGAGTGCAGGTTTCACCCCTCCTAACTCATTAGCATGTCACTGACCTTGTCCCAAGTTAGGGCGTTGTTTTTAGGATGTCGTCATAGATGCGAGGCAAAACAAATCTTAGTCCTCCTCCTCTGTTAAGAGAAGGTTTTTGTTTCCTCACAAAAATGACTTCTTTCACCCCTCTCTCAAACCAATTCTTCTCCCGAGCCAGAATTTTAACCTCTGTGTCATCCACCGTGTGGTTGGTGGCCTTGAGGTGGAGATGAACAGCCGACTGTGGCCCACTAGAGTTTTCTCTACGATGTTGGTAAAGTCGTTTTTGTAGAGTTTGTTTGGTTTCTGTAGAGTTTGTTTGGTTTCTTACTAAAGGCCTAAACTTTGCAATAACCCCAAAAGATATTCCTACAATTGAATACATCACAGCAGCAGAAGCAGCCATTAGAAACAACAAACTAACTGAGAGTGAGGCGAGGGCCTTCAGACTGAGAGTCTCTGCAACACTCAAAAGTGCGAAGCCCCCACAATCCAATGTCTCATTAGATGAGCAAAAAGCATTATTGGCATTACAAAAGGATGAGAGTATAACTATTTTACCAGCTGACAAAGGCAGATGCACAGTTATCCTCAACAGCTCAGACTATGAGGCCAAAGTTAATCAGTTACTCTTGGACACCAACACGTACCAGCCATTGAAGAGGGACCCTACCAGTGGGTTTAGGAAAAAGATTATAGACTTCCTTCAGAGCTTAGTGAAAGAGGGCATTATTGAAAAACCACTATATTACAAACTTTACCCAGGAGACACCATCCCCAGTATTTATGGACTCCCAAAAATACACAAACAAAACTTTCCACTTCGGCCTATTGTATGTAGCATAGACTATCACCTACAACCTGGCTAAACACCTCAAAACCATTCTGGCTCCTTTGGTGGGCAACACCCACCATTACATAGAAAACACAAAAGAATTTGTAAATAAAATAAAACAGCTCCAGTTTGACACAGATGAGACAATGGTCTCGTTTGATGTGACATCACTGTTTACGTCGGTCCCTATTACAGAGGCGGTGGAGGCTGTGAGAGAAAGCCTACAGAAAGACGCCACACTAGGGGAGAGAACGAAACTAACAGCTGACCACATCTGTGAAATACTTGAAATGTGTCTTAACACCACGTATTTCCAATTTAGAGGCACCTTCTTTAGACAGATTCATGGCTGTGCGATGGGCTCCCCAGTCTCTCCTATAGGGGCCAATCTGTATATGGAGAAACTGAAGGAACAAGCCCTGGGCTCTTACCAAGGGACAGCGCCAAGCCATTGGTTTCGATATGTAGACGATACATGGGTTAAGTTAAAGAAACAGGAAGTGGAACCATTTTCAGAACACATTAACTCGGTGGACCCTTTTATAAATTTCACTCGCGAGGATGCTAAGGAGAGTGAACTGGCCTTTCTAGATTGTAAGGTCATCATTAGTGGTGCAACGGTTCATCACTGATCCGTGATCCGTTCGGTTCAACGTCTTCGGTTCGGTACAGACGTGATCCGCGGTTTGATTTATGAAAAAAAAGTTGTGCGCACGTTGTTCAGTCCACACACAGCGCGGTCATTGCGAGCGGAGGAACGGAGATGCTTGAAAGCCCTGCGTCATTTAAATCCCCAGTATGAGAGCATTTTGGCTTCACTGTAACTACACTGATAATTCATATTCGACAAAACTGTCACGATGTGTAAGCACTGTGGCACAAGAAAGACATGAGTGAAAAAAGCGTCTCAACGGCCGCTTATTTCCGCGGCATTTAAGCAGCTCCTTTACGCACAGTCAGACCGGGCTAAAGTCAACTCTCCCGCGCATCCTCAGCTGCGCTCACGACTGACGCTTGGACGTCCTGCGGAACCTATAATAGATCCATGAGCGGAACCGCTCACTTCATCACCGCAGACTGGGAGATGAAAAGTCTGGCGCTGCAGACACGCCCCCTCTACGACAGTCACACAGCACAGGTACTGACACAGCACAGGTACTGACACAAGCAGCGGAGGAATGGAAGACAAAGGCCCAGTACTAATATCCCAGTCACAACTGATAATGCCAAAAATTAAATAAATGCAGTGAATGAGGCTGGGCCCAGAATGGACCCCCTCCTTGGGAGAATCAGGAAGGTGGTGTAATATATGAGGGTAAATATCCTCATAAAGGGCCTTCTTATGTTGCACTTTGTTTTGTTTTTCATTAATTATGTTAAATAGACATAATTGGATGGATGGAATATGCCATCCATCCATCCATCCATTTCCTTCCCCTTAATTCATTTCTAGGTCAGGGGGGGCAGTCAGAGCAGGTGCCGAGTCCACATGAGCTGTGTTTATTAAAAAGACAAAACTTTTTCTTAGAAAAATGAACCGAAAAATGAACCGAACCGTGGCCTCTGAACCGAGGTACGAACCGAACCGTGATTTTTTCAAACCGTTGCACCCCTAGTCATCATACTGGAGAACGGACAATTAGAGACTGAGGTCTTCAGAAAGTCCACTCACACTGACCAGTACCTGGCCTTTGATTCAAATCATCCGCTACAACACAAACTCGGGGTCATTAGAACGCTTCAACACCGAGCCCACCAGGTCCCCACTAGCTAGGAAGGAAAGAACAGAGAAACCAAACATGTTCAGAGAGCACTTTCCAGAGGTGGCTACCCCAAGTGGTCTTTTACTAACGCCCAAAGGACGAGAAAGGCCAGAGACACAGTCCAACAGACAGAAGAAAGTAGGAGGAGAGGGGTGTCCTTACCGTATGTGGCGGGAGTTTCAGAGAAACTACAAAGAATCTTTAGGCAACACAAAATCCCTGTGTATTTCAAACCTTTCAACACGTTAAGACAGAAATTAGTGCATCCCAAAGACAAAACACCCAGACACAAACAGAGCAATGTGGTGTATTCAATTAAATGTAGTGAAGAGGAGTGCACTGACCACTATATTGGAGAAACCAAACAAACTCTACAGAAACGACTTTACCAACATCGTAGAGAAAACTCTAGTGGGCCACAGTCGGCTGTTCATCTCCACCTCAAGGCCTCCAACCACACGGTGGATGACACAGAGGTTAACATTCTGGCTCTGGAGAAGAATTGGTTTGAGAGAGGGGTGAAAGAAGCCATTTTTGTGAGGAAACAAAAACCTTCTCTTAACAGAGGAGGAGGGTTAAGATTTGTTTTGCCTCGCATCTATGACGACATCCTAAAAACAACGCCCTAACTTGGGACAAGGTCAGTGACATGCTAATGAGTTAGGAGGGGTGAGACCTACACTCCACTTGAGCATCCCAGCAGACAATAGGTCTGTGACATGCTAATGAGTTAGGGTCGTTAGCCTCAGCAGGGTCGTTAGACCTGCTCCCTTCTACATCAAGCAGACCTTAAGCCTAGCGTACATCGACAGAGAAACTGGGGACAACTAGTTGCAAGGCGGCTTTTGGCAACTGAGAGGAGATGGTGGGAGATGATCAGTTGCCGAAATCGGTCGATGTGCGCGCTCTTACAACTGGAGATGATCAGTCGGTCTCCAGTTCCAGTCAGTTGCCCGTGTTCTACTTTTCGGCAACTAGTTGTCCTCAGTTGCTCCGATGTGCGCGCTCCATGCGCCGCTCCGACAACGTGTGTGTATTGCGTGTATAGCGCGCCCGCAACAGTTTATGTCAGAAAACACACTGTAGTTGAGGCCAGTTGCTGTCGATGTACGCGCTGTTATTCAAGAGACTGGCCTGCGACTCAGAGTTGCCCGTTTTCGCCAGATTGTCGATGTGTGCGGGGCAGCAACTCAGAGGCGACGGATATAATCAGTTGCCAGTCCGATGTACGCTAGGCTTTAGATTGTTTACGAGTTAGTATCAGGATTAGGGTGTGGCTAACCACACCCATAGGTTATAAATCTCCAACGCGCGGTCCGAGAATTCATTCCCTGAAGAAGTCCGCTAGTTTGAGGACGAAACGTCGGGAAAACTTGCTAAGAAGTACATATGATGGGTGAGAAACCTTCCTTTGCTTTGACTGTCTATATAAAGCAGAAATGGGAAAGGGAGGCAGCAGCAGTGATATCAGAGGATGAATGGGCTCGTATGCTGGCTTTCCAGTGGACTCTGCCTCTCTGACCTGGAGACAACACTGTTGGAACAATATCATTAGATATTTCAAAACTCCAGCTCAGTGCAAACGCACAAATGACTTGTCGTGCTGGAGACAGTGTGGCACAGTTGTGGCAAATCATTTCCACATATTTTGGTCGTGTTGGAAATTACAAGGGTATTGGAGAGAAATTCAGATAAGCCTGAGTTCTATAGACTTGTTTGGCATGTTGTGCCACCCCCTTCCTTTTAACTTAGAAAATGGATGGAAATACAAGGGTATTTTGTATTCCTTTAACTTTGAGGGTAAAGTTACCTTCGTGGAAAGAAGAAGTGACAGAAAGTAAAAAGATTATTACTAAGAGATGAGTCCCACACGGCCCTCACTGGACGGCTGGACTGACATAGTGTTTGAGATCAATCAAATGGAAAAGTTAACCTATATTATAAACATTAAAGAGAAACATTTTATTGCATTTGGAACAAATGGATAAAATACATTTCCCCAACTAGAGCAGACTTTCTGTGACTTTTCCCCATTTGTTAGAACATTTATTGTCTCCCTTTACCGCATGAACACTACTCCAGTTTTTATTTGTATTTTTCTTTACTCTTGTGTTCCTTTCTTTTACCATTTTGGTAAACCTTTTATATGGGCATAATCTGTTGATAAATGGTGACATAGGACTGTACTATGAGCCCATCATTGGAAAAATGGAAATGTCCTGTATTATGATGATGAACAATGTTTCTGTGACATTTTGTTATGTCAAAATAAAATATGAAAAAAAAAAAATAAATACAACTAAAACCCCTTTTTCCCCAAAAACAAGGGCTGGGACTCGATCAAAAAAAGATCTAATTAATTAAAAGCTTTGTAATGAATTAATCGCAATAAATCACATTTTTTCCCCGTTTTGGTCCAGATGTATTATTTTTGGTAAAAGTGGTTCAAGTCTTGGAGCCAGTACTTTACACAGGATTTTAGAGTCACAATTTAGAAGTGAAATTGGCCTATAAGAGCTACAATCGGCTGCTGCTTTATTGGGCTTCAACAACAAAGTCATTGTGGCAATATTTAATGATGAGTGCAGGGACGCATTCTTAAAGGATTCCTGATACATATCTAGCAAGGGTTGTGCAAGTTTATCTTTAAAAGCTTTGAATATTTCCATTGGTATTGAGTCCGGTCCTGGACTTTTACCTCCCTTCATGCACAACATGGCCTTAATAATCTCCTCTTTCGTAATGCTGAGTTCGAGCTCCTCTGCACTGTTATCCTCAAGAGTGGGGAAGTTCAACTGGTCCAAAAAGTGGTTCTGTTTAGGTAAGGCACTATCAGAATATTCTGATTTATAAAGAGTTTGGTAAAAACTAGAAAACTTTTATCTTTTTGGGGTCCATTGTAATCTCATCACCCTCTACTGCAATTGAAAATCTGTCTGATTTTGTTTAATACGCCGAGCCAGAATTTTACTGGCCTTCTCACCTTGTTCGTAGTATGACTGTTTTATCCTCAGTAAACTTCTCATGGCCTTATTTACTGATAATAAATTGTATTTAGCCCTAAGTTTGTTTAATTCTGAAAAAAGGGAAGGCGATGATTTTTTATTTATCTCTTCAGTTTCCTTAATTTTTTTCCCAACTCTTCCATTTCAATTCTAGAGGATTTAAATTTAAAGGATGTATAACTTATCATCTGCCCTCTTAAGAAAGCGTTGAAGGCCTCCCAACGTAAACTTGCAGAGGTTTGGTCCGTGTTATAGACGAGTTTTTTGGGCGTAACCATGGGCGCAGCCATTGAAGCGCTATGCTGTTTTTCACTTCCGGTTTGCGCTTGGCGCAGCTTACACAACTGCAGTTTAGACCGAAGATGGAGGATCATTCCAAGTTCTGCGGATTTTAAAATGGATATAGGAAAACGCAAACTGGGTTGTGGATCATACTGTGCGGTCCGTGGTTGTACGAATTCGTGGAAACGCTTGAATATATGGCTGGAAGGAGAATGTTATGATCATCGACCAGCTACAAGACGCCGATGTGGATGTGCTCCACCGTTTGCTTTGTTTTTGAAGCCAACAGCTGACAACGAGTCCAGGATGTGGCTAGCTGCTTTAAAGTTGAAGAAACCCCCTAAAAGAGTGTATGTTTGCTCCTATCACTTTGTGGACAAGAAGCCCACTGAGGAAAATCCTTTCCCGGAACTTTTCCTGGGATACGAGCGTCCTCCCCAGCGCAAGAGACGTAAACTTGAGAGGAACCCCGGCTTTCATAGAGCCTCAAGTTCTCACGGTAAGTCTTTTACTTTTAACCTTTAAGTCGTGTTCGTTTCTCGCCCCTTAATTTGGTGTGTGTTGTGTGTGTTGTGTCTGTGTGTGTGTTGTGTGTGTGTATTGTGTCTGTGTGTGTGTGTTGTGTCTGTGTGTGTGTTGTGTCTGTGTGTGTGTTGTGTCTGTGTGTGTGTGTTGTGTCTGTGTGTGCTGTCTGTGTGTGTGTTGTCTGGATAAATATGATCTGTTTACACATACATTTCTATGGTGGTCACTTTTGACCGGAACACAACAGATGTAACAAGGTTAACTAAAAGACTCAAAATTCCAGTAAAGTGATGCTCATCAATTTTGTATATTCAGGTGCAAAGTGTGGCGGATATCATAAAGTCTTGGCAATGAGATGTAACAAGAATGTTTTATGAGTGTTTAAATGTGCATATCGGTCTAATTTGACCCGAACACAACTTAAATGTTAAATGGTTATCTAGTGTAAACGCTTCCCGTGATTATATTTTTGTTGTGTGTGTGTTGTATTTGTAGTACATAATAACATGATGCTTCTGTCTTTCAGAAACGGCTGAAATGAGCACTGAATCTGTGCTGCTAGTGGACCAGATTGTCAACGAGCCTAAGTGTAAAGACGCTGCGACACAGTGGGAAGAAATGTCAATGGTCGACCACAGCTACGCATCAGCAAAGGCAGACATTGGAAACAAAGAAACGCAGACCGAGACTGTAATGGCTCAGACCGTGGCCGAATCTGTGCTAGTAGATGACCACTCGTCGCTGCTGTACACAGGAATGATTCGGACTCATTTCTTTACATTGGTGGAAACAATGTTGCCATTTAGAAAACCAACGTGTAATATTCCTGTTGTTGATCAAATACTGATGACCCAATGAAATTGAAACTTAACCTTGTGTTAGGAGATGTGGCTTACCGTTTCAATGTGTCCAAAAGCTGGACAAAATTCTAATAATCTGTGCAGCCTTGGTTAATATGAAGTCTAGACTGATTAGACTGCCACATGAAGTGTAACTGCGCTCTCGTCTTTTGAAAGCTTACTTGATTTTCTTTATGGCAGTAGCTATTGTACTGAAAAAATTATAAACTGTTTTTATTCCATGTCCCATCCCATTTTGTAAATGGCATCAGATGGCATCCAAGCAAATGTTTGAGAGCCCATCCACAGCTTTGTATTGTATGTATACATTTCCTCAAACAATTAAAATGTTGAAAACGTCAAAATGTCTTACAGTATGTCCAGTAATGAACAAGAGAACTTGGGTAAGATAAGAGAACCTTTATCTTTAAAAATAGCACTTTGCAGCTGACATGTCCTAACAGTAAGACAGTAGTAAGAGCACACACAGGGCACACAAAATACAAAAGAAATAGCTGTTACATTTCTTAGCTAGCTGTAAATGTTTAATTATTATATACATATTTATATATATAAAGTTATATACACGCAGGATAATAAAGTGACATTAAGTGGGCATACTGAAATGCAGTATTGCACATGTTTTAGTATTCAATATTTACAGATGAATGACATGTGCAGCTCATTGTGCTGTTTGACAGGAGCAGGAAGGAAAGACCTGCAGAACCTCTCCTTCACACAGTGGGGGTGAATGAGTCCGTGTTTGTGAAAGTAATGACAAAGGACATCGAGTAGGAGCAGGTCATGGTGAATTTACAACAGCTAGATATCTGGAGCACAACTCTAGCCTTCCCTCATCAAATTCATCCACAATTTTTGGCAGCATGTGTGTATGAAGGTACTGATATGCCTCCGAGCTCTTCAGGTTGTTGATCGCATTTCCATCCACAGCCATGGAGTCAACGAAGTACGAAAATATTTTTGTTGTGGTGATTTTCGGCCATTTAGACATGTTGTCATCCCAAGTCGTTATCATGGATGGATGGGGAATTGTACAAACTCCATCTTTCGTGAGAAATGTCGCCGAATGTCTCCATTTAAGAGACATAATTCACCATGGAAAAACACGTTTTTAAACAGTAAAAGAGCGTAACCGGAAATGAGAACACAAAAGCCGGAAGTAAACCGGAAATGCCCAAAAAACTCGTCTATAGTCAAAATAAAAATCTATTTGTTGTTCTATATATTCTAAGAAATCCGGATCCTTGAGCCAAAAGGTCTGAAGGCGCCATCTAGTGGTCGAGGGAGGTAGGTTAGGCAATCTTAATAGAAAAGAGACACTGGCATGATCTGATAAAACAATACTGCTTTACCAAGAATGAGTAACATGGGGCATCAATTGTGCTGATATAAGAATATAATCAATTCTTGAAAGAGAACTGTGGGAGCTGGAATAGCAAGAGAATGCGAGCTCATCTGGATGCATCTTTCTCCACAGATCTACAACGTTAAATTCCACCATACACTGGAGCAGCTCTTTCCGAGTCTGCAGGTGTGAGGTGTCAATCCCAGACAGTCTATCAATATTTGGATAGAGTGTACAATTGAAGTCACCCCCAATAATTAAATGCCCAGCTAATGAAGCCAAGGACAAAAATAGATTACGAAAAAAGGATGGAGTGTCGTCATTTCTACCATATACATTCACAAAATTCAACCGATGTGATGCTATCATTCAACAATGAGATATCTCCCAGCCTTGTCCTGCACCGTATTTATCAAATGAAAAGGTAGTGATTTGTGAATCAGTGTGATTACACCCCTGGATTGAGAGCTAAAGGAGGAATGAAACACATGACCTGGCCATCTTCTCCTCACTCTAATGATATCCTCAGCTGTCAAATGTGTTTCTTAGAGAAATACAACTTTGGCTTTTATACTTCTTATCCTGTTCATAACTTGTTTTAATTTAACCAATTTGTTTAGCCCTCGGACACGTGAAGTTCCAATAATCCAGACATCTATATAGTAATGAGCCGAGTACATGCAGTCTGCCAGAAGGATGAGGGGAAGGGTAAAAGAAAACTTGGGGGACAATAGAAAACAACCCTCCCCAAGGAAAATAAAAAAACAAACTAATAAAACAAGAAGGTGCACAACGGTTAAACAGCAGCTAGCCCATCCCAGCATCCCTAAAGAAGACTGGGTTATGGAGACGAGCTGATCCACCTCAGCCATGGAGGAGCAGCACATACCAGAGCGTCACCGAACAGGGCCCCTCCCCAGTTAAGTCAAATAAGAGTCATATTTAACATATAATAATCATTATTATTGGTTACAAAACCACCAAAATCTAACAAACAATGAGTTCGACCTCCAACTTGTTAAGTATAAAAGAAACATTATAACCACAGTATGCATGAATTAAAATGCACAAATATAGGCACATGAACAGATTAGCAGTAACGTGTGATTGCAGTTCTGGATTCAATCTTCTGACTGTCACCTTTCAAACATCGCACAAACGCACTTGCCTCATCAGAGTTATCAAATACACGTCGGTTCCCTCGGACACTTCATAAATCACATTTTAATCACATATAAATATTTGACCTGAGAACAGAGAGAAGCGCTTTTTTCACATGGATTTTTAGTAAACATTAAATAATGATGAATACATTAAGTTTAAGCAACACAAATATTGTTTATTTTTGTTCAAGTCCAACAGACCAGTGCAAGTTTTGCCTTTAAGTGCAATACCATATTTAGAAATATACTTCCCATCCACAGGGCCAACCAACGGTCTGGTTTAGTCTGGTTTAGTCTGTTTAGTCTGTTTTAGTTTGGTTTAGTCTGGTTTAGTCTGTTTTAGTCTGGTTTAGTCTGTTTTATTCTGGTTTAGTCTGGTTTAGTCTGTTTAGTCTGTTTTAGTTTGGTTTAGTCTGGTTTAGTCTGTTTTAGTCTGGTTTAGTCTGTTTTATTCTGGTTTAGTCTGATTTAGTCTGGTTTAGTCTGGGTTAGTCTGTTCTAGTCTGGTTTAGTCTAGTTTAGTCTGGTTTAGTCTGGTTTATTCTGGTTTAGACTGGTTTAGTCTGATTTAGTCTGGTTTAGTCTGGGTTAGTCTGGTTTAGTCTAGTTTAGTCTGGTTTAGTCTGGTTTAGTCTGGTTTAGACTGGTTTAGACTGATTTAGTCTGGGTTAGTCTGTTCTAGTCTGGTTTAGTCTGGTTTAGTCTGTTTAGACTGGTTTAGTCTGGTTTAGACTGGTTTAGTCTAGTTTAGTCTGGTTTAGTCTGTTTATTCTGGTTTAGTCTAGTTTAGACTGGTTTAGTCTGGTTTAGTCTGGTTTAGACTGGTTTAGTCTGGTTTAGTCTGGTTTAGACTTGTTTAGTCTGGTTTAGTCTAGTTTAGACTGGTTTAGTCTGGTTTAGTCTGGTTTAGTCTAGTTTAGACTGGTTTAGTCTGGTTTAGTCTGGTTTAGTCTGTTTAGACTGGTTTAGTCTGGTTTAGACTGGTTTAGTCTAGTTTAGTCTATATGTGATGCGATCTGGGAAAACCCGTAGGATGTCGCTCTAGCACGTTCCGAGTAAACAGTGAAAATAGGTCGAGTGTCATTTTTTTGGCTAAATTGTGTTTTCATTAAATAATTATTATATAACGTCTTTTCTTTAATTTCTGAAAATATCTAAGTGAAATTCACTAGTTTTATAAATTAAAAATTGTGATATGTGTTGATAAACCGAACGTTACATTACATCCTCCGCTCTGACCCCGGAAACAGCTGCTTTGAGACAGCTCAGTGAGAGCACTGCTGTAACGGGGCTCCGAGCGCGGACCATAGACAGGACCATAGACAGGACCATAGACAGGACCATAGACAGGACCATAAACAGGACCATAAACACGTGAACAGGACCATAGACAGGCGGACAGGACCATAGACAGGACCATAGACAGGACCATAGACAGGACCATAAACACGTGAACAGGACCATAGACAGGCGGACAGGACCATAGACAGGACCATAGACAGGACCATAGACAGGACCATAAACACGTGAACAGGACCATAGACAGGACCATAAACACGTGAACAGGACCATAGACAGGACCATAGACAGGACCATAGACACGTGAACAGGACCATAGACAGGACCATAGACAGGACCATAAACACGTGAACAGGACCATAGACAGGACCATAAACAGGACCATAGACACGTGAACAGGACCATAGACAGGACCATAGACAGGACCATAGACACGTGAACAGGACCATAGACAGGACCATAGACAGGACCATAAACACGTGAACAGGACCATAGACAGGACCATAGACAGGACCATAAACAGGACCATAGACACGTGAACAGGACCATAGACAGGACCATAAACACGTGAACAGGACCATAGACACGCGAACAGGACCATAGACAGGACCATAGACACGTGAACAGGACCATAGACACGTGAACAGGACCATAGACACGCGAACAGGACCATAGACACGTGAACAGGATCATAGACACGCGAACAGGACCATAGACAGGACCATAAACACGTGAACAGGACCATAGACAGGACCATAGACAGGACCATAAACACGTGAACAGGACCATAGACACGCGAACAGGACCATAGACAGGACCATAGACAGGCGGACAGGACCATAGACAGGACCATAAACACGTGAACAGGACCATA